TCGCGAGTGCTTTGAAAATTTTGGACGGGGTGAATACAGCGGACTGGTATCATGGATGAATCTGGAAATCTAATTATTTCTACCAACCTCCAGAATGTGCTACATCGATCTATCTATGTTTGGGAGACCAATCATCTGGGAAAGCAGAATTCAAAAGTCGATCTGAGTCATTTGAAAGAAGCCGAGTTATGTAATTTGTAAATGATTGATTCTCAGATTTTGTGGGGTGTGTTGGATGGCAATGGCATGGTGATGGTGAAGGATTAATGGTGGCTGAGGCCTGAGGCTGACACGACAAAGGAGATATTTATTTAATCCATTCGCTACCAATCTGTAAAATATCATTGTTATAAGAATCGAACTGGATCAACAACTGGGCCAGTAGAATTGTCAAATCAGTTACGATAGCGGTACGGTTCATTGTTTGGACGGTTATTGATGGACCAAACGGTTTTTCACGGTTCAACATAAAATCAGATAAACCACCACGATTTAATTGGTCTATTGGTTCACTATTTTAACCACAAATTAAAAAAAATGAAAAAGAAAGATTGATTCTTTGCGATCCTTCCTTTCTTCAATTGAAACGAATAAAGATAGAATCAGGCAAATTTGTCCCGGTGATTCACGAAAGGAGAGAAGGAGATGAATAATCTTCTCCTTCCGGAAGAGATTTAATGTAAACTAAGACCATCAAACTAGAATTATTAATTTTGCTTCTACTTCCTTTTTCTCATTTTTCAACCTCGTTGTCGACTTTACATGGTCCACTACCGACTGACACCGTAATTTTTAACTTGAATTTGAAATGTATTATACAAGTCATGTATGTTATATATCATGAACGGTTCATCAATGATTAATCAATAGTTTTGTAACGTTTAACTATTGAAGCTAACTCACTAATTTTTTCGGTTCAGTTTAAAACATAGGTAAATATCCTCCACCTAAAGGAAATAGTAAATATTATATACCGTTCAATTATTTTTTTATGGATGATGAAAAATAATATTATGGGGAGGGGGAATATGAACAAAAGGAAGATACCAAGATGCCAAGATCAACGGCCTGTTTGGACCAAATTCTCATATGTACCTTTGATTAGAGTAGACATTAGGTAAGTTAGGTGGGTTTTAATTTTAAATAGATCTACCCACTTATTGATGAATTAGTATAATTGTGACCGATATACACTCATTTTTTTTGGTTGGCTAGATAGGAAATGGGGTGTTTGGATTGCAACCATCCGCAAATGAAATTATCGAACAACCCATTAAACCGGCTGACTAATATTTACAATATATTTCTCACAAATTAGAAGAATTATAACAATAAAATGCACTTCCTGCTTTGCCTCAAGTGGATCTTAAACTAGTACTAGTGTGGATTTCACTACTTTGACAGCAAATATAAGTGATTTCATTAATTTATTAATTAATTGTAGAGAAAAATGATCTTTATGGTAATTTTGATACAATTAATTGTCCGTAATTTTATCTCAATATCGGAAGGAAATCAATCAATAAAAATAATCCAAAATTTTGTTTTACGATTTAGAAGCCAATGGTTAATGTGCGAGGATTATAAAAAAGAAAAGGTTAGTTAGTATGACGATTCTCCTATATAATGAGAGGGGGGAAAACTCGGTGTAAAAGTGGGTTGCGAGACATTTAGGTGACCTACAATCCACCTACCATCCACCCGAATAAGTATAGGTAGGAGATTTACCACCCACGATCCACCACATCAATCACTCACCGCCAACGATTCGAGTTATTTGGAGTGGATCGATATCAAATCATGGACCAACCACCCACTTGCCCACCCTACTACTAGTATTAATATTCAAGTAAATAACAAAGACATGGAGTTGTGTGATCTTCATACCCTAAATCCAAGAAAATAACAAGATCTTCATACCCTAAATCCAAGAAAATAACAAAGACGCAAAGTAGAGCAACCCAACTTCCACTGTGACATTATAAATATAATGTCATATAGAGATTTGTATCCCTCTATGATCTTAATGTACTGTGTTTGAGTGGGGATCGTTTTGACTTCAGTAGGGGAAAGAGTGAGATGCATATGCCTATTGAATATGTCATACAATCCTCTCCCCTTGCTTTATTTTGCTCTGCATCTATGGTATCTTTTTAAATTCCTAATATAATAAGTTCATTATTATAATAAAAAAATGTTATATAGAGACATGATCGTCTCTATTCTCCATTAAAGTGTGATAGGTGGAGAGTAGGGAGAGTGACGGAGTGGTTGCTAACATGCATTGAGGAAGTGAGCTGTCCACCCTCTCGTATGCTAAATCGTAATCTTGACCATGACAGATAAAAAAAAAAAACCCTTGTTTCGGGAAAAAATCTAAAAGTACCACTGTTTAAAAAAAAATTTCCAAAAATACCACCCAACCCCAAAAAATTCCAAAAATACCACCCTTTTTCAAAAACCGCCACCCCACCCAGCGGTTTGGTCGAAAACCGCTTGTCGGGGGCGCGGTTTTGGACCAAACCGCGGGCCTAGGGGGCGGTTATAAAAAAAAAAAAATTTTGGACCAAAACCGCTGGGTGGGGCGGCGGTTTGGCCCAAAACCGCCACCCCAACCAGCGGTTTGGTCCAAAAGTTCGGTCGAAACTTCAAATGAACGTAACTTTGCACTCGGGTATCCGATCGTAGTGATTTTTTTTTTCATTTCGCATAACTTTTCAAGATCTACAACTTTTAATAGGATGAAATTTTCAAAACAGGAACTCTTTGTGGATATACGGGACCTTGAGAATAACTTTACCTTTACTTTTTAGAAATCCATGTACATTTTGAAATTATGATTATATTAAAAGTTATAGATCTTGAAAAGTTATACGGAATAAAAAAAAAATTCATGAAATTCGGATTTTGGAGCACAAAGTTATGGCCGCCCAAAGTTTGACGAAATAAAAAAAGGTCGTTCGGGGTGGCAAATGACGTTTTTTCGAGACGAAGACGGAACCCGACTGTTTGAGACTTGCAAGATCTCAAAAAGTTATTCGGATTCAAAAAATGGAGGCCGCAAACTTTTTGAGATCTTGCAAGCCGCAAACCGCCGGGTCTCGCCTTTCGTCAAACTTTGGGCGGCCATAACTTTGTGCTCCAAACTCCGAATGTTATGAACTTTTTTTTGATTCCGCATAAATTTTCAAGATCTACAACTTTTAATATAATCATAATTTCAAAATGTACATGGATTTCTGAAAAGTAAAGGTAAAGTTATTCTCAAGGTCCCGTATATCCACAAATAGTTCCTGTTTTGAAAATTTCATCCTAGTAAAAGTTGTAGATCTTGAAAAGTTATGCGAAATGAAAAAAAAAATCACTACGATCGGATACCCGAGTGCAAAGTTACGTTCATTTGAAGTTTCGACCGAACTTTTGGACCAAACCGCTGGTTGGGGTGGCGGTTTTGGGCCAAACCGCCGCCCCACCCAGCGGTTTTGGTCCAAAATTTTTTTTTTTTTATAACCGCCCCCTAGGCCCGCGGTTTGGTCCAAAACCGCGCCCCCGACAAGCGGTTTTCGACCAAACCGCTGGGTGGGGTGGCGGTTTTTGAAAAAGGGTGGTATTTTTGGAATTTTTTGGGGTTGGGTGGTATTTTTGGAATTTTTTTTTTAAACAGTGGTACTTTTGGATTTTTTCCCTTGTTTCGTGGTAAAAGTTTCACGATATGAATTGATTAGATTGTGCTTCTAACTTCTAGAAACCAAAATAATTGTCACAACCATAGTATTTGATGTTTTGAGAATCTAAGCAACCACCAACATCCAAAGCCTATGACTAGGACGAATCAGCCCATTAACACACAACATAACATAGGCAGGCCTTTGCATCGCCCAATGAATTCAGGAAGTCCAATTGAACTTCCTTCCTTTCCCCACGTTTCCGTGTCCCGCGTGGACAAGGAACTGAGCTGGAGCCGTTCGTGTCCTCCGTCAATTCATCGACCCCTCCTCTGGCCTTTTTCTATTTCTAACCTTTACTTTTCGACGGTAGCCATTTTGGCTCCTAACATATATACTTTTTACTCCCCTGTACAATATCTTTTAGCGAAAAAGCTCCTAAATTTGGTGAGTTTCATATACCAACTCTTTCGGTCGGAGTTGACATTTTCCATGGTTAATATTTGGTTGTGGCTCGTGGGTTTTGATTAAGTTACTCTACGAATTAGTGGGTTAAAACTTAATGCCAACTCTTTTGGTCGAAGTTAACATTTCCATGGTTCCATGGTTTGTGTTTTTGGTTGTGGCTACTGGCTCGTGGGCTTTGATTAAGTTATCGTGTAAATTATTGGGTTAAAACTTAAAAGCACGATAGTAATTGACTTCGCAAAATTTGTATATAGACAATGACCCGTTCCACCGTTTTCAATTGAGGTCCTAAACTATGATTTGATTTTTCAAATTCTATTTGGTGGTCAAATCACAACAACGGTTTACTACCAGCCATATCGATATGATGAGCTATACACAAATTATACTAATAAGTAATAAGTGATTAAACAATAATTGCACCACTATGTATCATTTAAGTATTTAACTTACTTGTGCTGCACGATCTCATATAATACGACTTCACAAATCATGTTATACTTTGTCATCACATCCCATTTCCCATCATGACAAATTTCTCCCCACTTTTAGCACCGGTGAGCTCGTCAGTTTACTTGTCATCTCTAGGACCAGCTGGTTGAATACAATATGCACAACAAGTAGGTCCTCGGTTTGAGGGTTTGCACTTTGCAGGAAAGAAGACAACAAAGGAGAGCTAGCAAAGGGAGCTCGGTAGTTTTGACTTTTGACGTGATTCGGGCAGATTTGGGAGAAGTTATAATGTACAAGGACTAGATTGAGAGGAGTAAAAAGTTATGGTCTCGATTCGAGAAGAATGCCGAAGTTCAATGGCAAAATTCAACGTTAGTTCTTTCCTTTTTCGAAAATTCGGTCCACTCGCCAGCCTCAGCCTATCTTCTCTCTTTCAATTCAGTCCTCCAAATCCAAATCCCTAATCTTCATCGTCTAATCTCAACGTCCTCCTTCCTCATCTCTCTCTCTTTTGGTCGTCTTACTCAGACCAGCTAAGGTACTGTGATTCTCTCGCTCTTTCATTGCTTCCCATTTAAGTTTCTGTTAAACTGCAGCTATGAGGTTTTACCGGGAAAGTAGCGTAAAATTGGAGAAGATTCGGTCAAAATCGGCGACTTGCTAAAATATCACCAGCCAAGCTCCAATAATTTCGGACAGATTATTCGCTGACCTTCTGTCTCCCCATATTCCTAGGGTTTCGTATTCCATCTCTCTCCCTCTATCAAAAATCCACATTGTCGCTTCCCTCCCTTTCTCCCCTCTCGCCGGTCGGTGAATTTTCCCGGAAAATTTCGTATTTTCCGAAAATAATCCCGACCCGCGACTGATCCCCCCTCCCCTTCCCCTGAATTCCTCTTCCCCCAATTTTGAATCATCTTCCTCGTGAAGATTTTGATTAATCGGAATATCTATTTGCTTTGGGTTGACATTGCTTTGGCGATCGTCAAACTTTTCAGGTTTTGCTTTTGGATATCTTTGTCGATTTTCTTTACCTTCCTTGTCGTTCGCTTTCCTGTTATGGTGCCTTGAAATTTGGGAAATGAATAAGCTATAAGGTTTGATTTTGTTGCAGGGAGCTTGAAGGAAAAGAGAAGGGAGAATCGCCGCCAATTTGTTAATTACATGGCGAGTCAAGGCGGCTCTTCGAGGAAAAGTTTGACGTTCTCCAGCGCCTCTGTGAACGGCCGGAGGAAATCCACTACTGACATTGGAGCTACTGGTGACCCATCGCGCAAATCAATCGTCATTTCTCGTCCTGTGTAAGTTCTGATTTCGTCTAACAGGGTTCCGAGATTGTTTCGTGGGCGATCAGATTTGTGTTTTATGTTGATGTTCATGGTCGTAATATTTCATCATCGAAGCCTGACTAATGATTTAGTCTCCTGCCAATTTGTAATTCAAGAGATAATTTACTGGATTGGTACTGGAAAGAACATCGCTCTTTTCTGTAGCAATCACGGTGTAAGAAATGTCTGAAATCAAATCAACAAATATTTCGAATTGTCTTGATGAGCTTGACCTTCATGATGATACACTATGTATTTCAATTTATCGGAAATTTGGAGCATTTGTAGAAAATGTGACAGGACCCTTGTCCTGTTTGCTTTTAGACAGTCAGCTGCACGTATGCATTCTTGTTGTTAATATGATCGAAAATTCAAAAGTTGCATGTTACTATAGTTGTTTCGCTCTCACATCAGAATAGAAGTAGTGATTTGTTTGTCCCTGCTAACACAACATGGCTCTCAAACGAACTCCTTTGTTTTATGGCAGAGGTTTAACCGGAGAGCGTACTGTTAAGCGATTGCGTTTGTCAAAGGCTTTAACGGTACCTGAAACTACAAGTATATATGATGCCTGCCGACGTATGGCTGCCCGAAGAGTTGATGCATTATTGCTGACCGATTCAAATGCACTGCTCTGTGGAATCCTTACGGACAAGGTTTGAAACATGATCATAATTACCAACTTGGTGGAAGGGAAGTTTCTTCAATGAACGTCACTTACTTGCCGCCTTTAACCTTTTTTCTTCTGATGTATTTCGTGTTAGGACATAGCGACAAGGGTCATTGCTCGGGAGATCAATCTCGAGGAGACTCCAGTTTCTAAAGTAATGACCAGGAACCCGGTTTTTGTTCTCTCTGACACTCTGGCTGTGGAAGCTTTGCAGAAAATGGTGCAAGGTTTGTAATTAGGTAGCAAGTTGCAGGTTGTTTCTCGCCCACTCACCTTAGCATACTGATCCTGATAGTTTTTATATACAGGGAAATTCAGACATTTGCCTGTTGTAGAAAACGGGGAGGTTGTCGCTTTACTTGATATAGCCAAGTGTTTATATGATGCTATTGCCCGTATGGAAAGGGCTGCTGAAAAGGGGAAGGCGATTGCTGCGGCTGTTGAAGGTGTTGAGAAAAATTGGGGTGCTTCTGTTTCTGGTTTGTCCATGTCTCCCTATGTAACTTCTAGGCAGACATCTTCTTAAATCCGTTGTTGGATATGTTACAGTTGTCGGTTTGGTTTACGTTTACTTAATATGTTATTATGATTGGCTTGCAGGACAAAATTCTTTTATCGAGACACTTCGGGAACGGATGTTCAGGCCTTCCTTATCAACAATAGTTCCAGAAAATTCAAAGTAGGTAATATTTTGGTTCCATTCATTTTCATGCAGAGTGTACCCTAATTCCAAGTGTTTGCAGGTTGATTATTGTGATTCTATTGTGATATCTTTCAGGGTTGTAACAGTTTCACCGACTGAAACAGTTTTGACAGTGACAAAGAAGATGCTTGAATCTCGGTCAAGCTGTGCTGTGGTGATAGTTGATAATAAACCACGCGGAATTCTTACGTGAGTCTTTGTACCCTTCATTTAAATGTGGACCTGGAGCCAATGGAAAGTACTTCAAATTTATTCTGTTTCTCATATGACCAAATTGTAATGTAAAGGTTATTCCAATTGCTGGGGTAAAGAATGGTGAGAGAAGGAAATTTGTGTTTTAATTAGAATTTTTTTCTTTCTTCCTGGCGGAAATCCTGAAAATCAGGTAATTTGTGCTTTTGATTTTCAGTTCAAAAGACATCTTGATGAGGGTGATTGCACAAAATCATGCCCCAGATTCCACCCTTGTTGAAAAGGTATCCTTCTTTTGTTAGTTGCATCATTGGCTCTGTGTTTTCCTGAAAAGACATCAGCGTTCATGTGTTTGGCGTGTTTCTAAATGTCCCATAGGCATATTACCTAGTGCTTGTAGCTACTGGAACATGTTGAAGATCATCACTTCTCTTTTCAATGTAAAAGAGACAATCTTGATTGAGGTTGTTTCCTTTGTTTGCACCTGCAGGTCATGACTCCTAATCCTGAGTGTGCAACGACTGATACACCAATTGTTGATGCCTTGCATACGATGCACGATGGAAAGTTTTTGCATCTTCCTGTTGTGGATAAGGGTAATGTGTTTGTCACAAACCAACAGAAATAAATTTATTTTATCCATCCCTTTGTTCTTTTATTGATGAATACGTGGATGGGTACAGATGGTGTTGTAGTTGCTGTTATAGATGTGATTCACATAACTCATGCTGCTGTGGCCACGGTAAGTAGAGCTGTTCCTTTTATGCACTGTAACTTAAGTTGTGTACTATGAGTCAAACATCTCCAAGGAGATTAATTTGATATGCTGCCCACTAGTCACTATTGTGTATTCACTATTCACATTCTTCCTGTGTTAAAACAGGCTGGGAATGCCGGGGCAGTAAGTAATGAGGCCACGAGCACAATGATGCAGAAGTTTTGGGATTCTGCAATGGCATTAAGTCCTCATGATGACGATGATGAGTCTCGGAGGTTTCATTCTTCTTTCTCATACTTCTCATCAGACTAGGATTTCTGATTAGTTGTTTTGTCTTCTTAAGTGGTATTGTTTGTAATTCAGCGAGGGATCGTTGAAACTGAATTCTGAAGGAACAGAGTCTGGAAGAACCCTTCCCTATCCATCATCGTCAGTGCCAAATACCTTTTCTTTCAAGATTGAAGATAAACGAGGAAGGATGCACAGATTTACATGTGGTATGATTTTCTTGTCAGCCATTGTTTGGTCGCTCAGTATTTAGTTTGTGCAGTTCTGCATTTGCATGATACGGGTCCTTGAATTTGACTCAACTATCCTAGACTTAGGGTTTTATAGTGAGGCAGCTTGATAGACTAGAAGAATAATCAAAAGCCTCAGTTCATCTTGTCGTGGTGGGTTTAGAATCTTATGCTAATGAAATGAGTCGTTGACATTGTCATTTATCTTTTTTACACAAATAGAAACTCGAAGTTTGACGGATCTAATAACAGCGATTCTTCAACGGATTGGGAATGATATCGACCGCAATAACTTGCCTCAAATTTTGGTACGTCAGCCTTCGTTTGTCATGTCTCTTAGCTTCCTAATTTTGTTCTCTCTTGGAATACAATATGCTAATGCGTGGCCATGTTCAAAAAGTATGAAGATGAAGACCATGACAAAGTTGTTATCGAGTGCGACAATGATCTATCAACTGCCGTAGAGCATGCGAGAGTAACCGGTTTAAAGGTAACCCATTGTCCAGAACATCCTTGTCTTTGTCATAGTAGGAAATCCGAATTCCCGACGGGATGTTGGATTGAAGCGTTCTATGGATTTTGGTGTGCAGGGTTTGAAATTGCATTTAGACTATTCGGGAGTGAAGGGTCATAGAAGAGGGAGGGGGATGCAGCAGTCTAGTTCAGGAAGTTTAGATTACGCACAAGGAGATGCGTGGGCAACTGCTTATAGTACAGTGGCAGCAGGTGCAGCATTGGTTGCTGGGTTAGGGTTTTTTGCTTATTTGAAGAGATCTGGTAATTAATACACACGCATACACTTATCAATACCAGCTAAATGATTTTGTGTTTAGTTGATAGCCAGTTTGGTGTACTCTGAATCTTGAACTAGCCTGATAAAAGAGGGAAACCGGGAGTGTTGGAAGGGCAATACTTCTTGGAAGGGAGGATTCATGGATGGTTTTTTGTAAACATATTGGCCAATGAAATAGTGATTTTGGGTGCTTGCTAACAGTCTTCTTCTTTGCTACTGTGTAAGCTAGGGGTGGGCATTGGGTGGGTTGGGTGGATTTTGACCATAAAATGCACCCATCCGCGCTTAAACGGATTGATAATTTTTAACCCACCACCCACCCACATTTAGTCTCGGGTTGGGTCGGGCGGATGGTGGATGATGCGGGTGGGTTTGTGGGTTCACCCACATCACAATGTATATAATATAAAGGAGTCAACTTGACATGATAATAGGTGAAGAGAGTTATCGGGGGAAACAAGAAGATGAAATAGGGCAAAAAATGTCGAATTAGTTCTTAAATTGGATAGAAATTTTATTATGAAAGAGTTTTCTACAGATTAAGATGATTATCAGGTGCAAGGAACTAAGGAAAATAATTCTACAAAGGAAAGAGCGGTGATCTAGGCACAAGAATTAGAGGAAAAAATAAAGGGAAGAAGAGGGGATCGATATTTGGAAGGTTGGCTTTGAGGTTCAAACTCCAGGAGCAGTCCTAGTTTATGTCTAACGTCTCCACTCTCCCCTCTCTAGCGCCAACGACTTTGATCTTTTTTGTTGTTGGGTTGAGCGGGTCACCCGCGCACCCACCCACAACCCATCCACCACTTGGCGGATGGCTCCCAGTGCAATCCGTCACCCACCCACAAACCCACCCATTTAACGAAATTCGGGTCAAATGCGGGTGAGTCGGCCCAAACCCGCGAATGATCCGCCCGCATGCCCAGCCCTAGTGTAAGCACTGATAGTTTGAAAAAAAAAAAATGTTCAATGAAGCTAAATCAATTTTGCAAGGAAGCTAAATAAGAATGGATCATAATATTAAAACCAACCGTTGATGCTAAATGACATGTATGATGCACCCTGAATTCTGGATCACTCCATTAACACTACCATAATTGAACATTAACAAGCACGGAATTACTATTACCCTACCATCTTGTAGGTGTGTTGGATGTTATAACTACTCTCCAGTGCCAAATCCATTGTGTATTACATTTTATTATCATCGATGATGCAGTATCGCAGCAGCACAAAAACGATGTTCCAACAAAGCGGCTACTAGCTAGCTAGTCAGTAGTCACAAATCAAAACGACTCTTCTACTTTAGTAGTTGCAAATATTTTCCGTTGGGATCCTAGTACGATGCTGGTATGCTTACACCTAGCAGAAACAACATGTGAGACCCTAGACATACATTTAGGGGAAAACAACATAAAAAATGGATGTCTCCAATGTGTTTTGTATGGTACTAAACTGTTTACTGTTACGTCCTATATATGCGTCATTATGTGGGCATGCAAAAGTGGTGTGCTGTGAAAGAACCAATCGAGTACGTAAAGTCCAACAAACAACCAGCCCTTCGCCTCAAAATTATGTTATAAATAACTAGGCTGCTGCCCGCCTACTTATCACAATCAAAATTACCTTCCAAAACCTCACTGATTTGATCTTCTTGTGCATTAATCCTTACCATATTATCCATCATGTCCTTAAACTGCCTTTCCCTGCTACTCATCGCATTGATGATGAACCCATCATTAATAACACAATCAGCAGCTTCCTCCGCCGCCGCCGACAAAGTGTACATCGTGTACATGGGTTCGGCGAACCCGGCCAAGGAAAGCGCGATAAACTCCATGCTTAAAAGGTAAATAATTAATATCTCTGTTATTCTTCTGGCTTCAATTGATTGATCACTTGGGCATACATAACATACATGTCTGTTTTGGCAGAGACGGCGGGAGGGCAATCGATCCACTCCGAACCTACCGCCACGGCCTGTCGGGCTTCTCTGCCCGTCTTTCTCCCGAAGAGGCGGCCGCCATTGCTGATCATCCCCATGTCATCTCCGTTTTCCCGGACGAGTCCTACAAGCTCCTAACCAGTCGATCATGGGACTTCCTACAAGAGCTCACCGAATACAACGACGTCGTTCCGCTTGCTGGGCCTATCAGGCCCGGTTTCTGTACCTCAAGCCCAAGTAGTGGGCTCGTGATTGGGTTCATCGACACGGGGATTTGGCCCGAATCGGAGAGCTTCAAATCGGAAGGCGCCAATTCAAACCCTCCACGTGGCTGGAACGGGACGTGTATGGCGGGAGCCGACTTCAACATCACCGCCTGCAACGGGTAAATATAAACGAAAAAAAAAAACAAAATCGACGTGGCATTTTCTATTAAATTAATTAATTTACAATTTTGGTGTTTTGTCTGTTTGTGTTGGAGCGCAGAAAAATCATTGGTGCGAGACACTATGTGACCGGAACGGCGAGGGACTGGGCAGGGCACGGGACCCACGTGGCGTCGACGGCGGCCGGAGCAGCGGTGGGGAAAGCCTCGTACTACGACCTAGCTACAGGGACAGCGAGGGGAGGGTCGGAGTTTGCCAGAATTGCCGTCTACAAAGCTTGCAACGACAGGCTGCGGTGTAAGGGCTCTCACATGCTCAGCGCGTTCGACGACGCTATCGGCGACGGAGTCCACGTCATCTCCGTCTCCAGCGCCCCCGACGAAGTGCCGTCGCGCTCCCCTTACTTCCTGAGGGACCCGGTCGCGATCGGCGCCTTCCACGCCGTCGAGAGAGGGATCACCGTAGTTGCCGGCGCCGGCAATACAGGACCCGATCCGGCGAGTGTCTTCAACGACGCACCATGGATCATTACCGTCGGCGCCTCCACCATCGACAGAGTTTTCCGAGCAGATGTCGTGTTGGGTGGTGGAGGTGGAGTGGTCAAGGTAAAGAAATTAATAAGCCTTCAGTTTTCCTCAAAAAAACAGAGAACTTCAAACAAAATACCTCTGTTTTCTAAACAAACAGGGTGAGTGGCTGACCTTCCCGGATCTTGATCGGTCGCCGATACATCCGTTGACGGACGGCAGCACAGCCAAGGAAGGGAATGCATCATATCTTGCAGCAAGGTGAAGTACTCCGTTTAATTAAATTCATTCTTGTGTTTCATTTGGTCAATTATACCAACGGCCAACCATCTCTGTTTTGTGGTTTGGTCAATTGCAGTGACTGCCAACAGGATTCACTGAAAAGGGAGAAAACAGAAGGGAAAATTGTCATCTGTGAGGTGAAAGGGAAAGATCCGACTATCAACCTCTTGACTCAAGCGAATGAGGTGCAGGGTAAAGGTGGGTTGGGGATGATACTCGTCGACGACGTGACCCGAAGGGTAGCCGAGTACTCCGGCGACTTCCCCGTTACAGTGGTCAGCTCACGGGAAGCAGTCAAGCTCAAGTCTTATCTCAACATCACCGTGTAAAAATTAAAGCATAATGAAACTACCTACTGTAATTTTGTCATTCATACCAACATTTTTTGCTAATTAATCCCTCAATCGAACTAGGGACCCGCTGGCTACCATACTCCCAACGGTAACGGTGGGAAACTATCGACCAGCGCCACAAGTGTCATACTTCTCCACCAGGGGACCTTCTGTCAATTTGCCCAACATAATCAAGGCAAGGCAACCCAACCCAACCCTCTCTACGTTATTCAAATCTTATCATCGTGATAGTAGCTTCTAGCTCTCCACTGATTTAATTTGATGTTGTGCAGCCTGATGTAATAGCTCCTGGTGTGTCGATTCTGGCGGCGTGGATCGGGGATGACTCAGAGTCCACCCCAAAAGGCAGAAAGCCGCCATCGTTCAACATAATATCTGGAACATCGGTGTCTTGTCCCCACGTCGCAGGGGCTGTCGCCGCCATCAAGAATGCCCAACCTTCATTCAGCCCCTTTGCTATCAAATCAGCCATCATGACCACAGGTAGTTCACTTCCATCGGTACTTCATCATCCATAGTGTTCTAAACGCGCTGTTACGGATCGGGAAATTGTCGAAATCGATAAAGCAAGAATACGAAAGCGAGAATCGAAAAACACAGACACACGATTTACATGATTCTCTAACACGATGTGTGTTAGTTAGTCCACGGGCGAGAGAGAGTCAGTTTCACTATATCGAAGAGATTACAGATTACAGAGTATCTATAGTACTTCTCCATATGGGTCTAAACCTAATCCAATATGGCAAAGGAAACGGTTATAGACCAGGCCCAGAACCCGAATCCAAATAACTGCGAGACCACCGACTACCAATCGTAGCGGTTAATAGTTCGATTCAAGTCACATCAACACATAGGAAATTAAAACGTGTTATTGAACTAACCTATTCTGTAATTTGTCCTTAATTTGTTGTCTAGCTTTTGTGACAAACAATGTGGGATCCCTCATCACAACGGACGCCGGTGAAGAAGCGACGCCGTACGACTTGGGTGCAGGGGAGTTGAACCCCACAGGGTCGCTGAACCCGGGACTGGTGTACGAGGCTACGACGACGGACCACTTGTTGTTCCTGTGTTATTACGGCTACGACACAGCCACCGTCCGTTTGATCTCGAGAGTGGCTCGATCGTTGAACTTCTCGTGTCCCCTGGACTCCAGCCCGGACCTCGTCTCCCATCTCAACTATCCTTCCATGGCGGTCCGCTTGGCTCCGAACCAGACGAGAACCATCGGAAGGGTGTTGACCAATGTGGCATCTGATGGGAAATGGAGCTACACGGCAACGGTTAGGTTCGGCGGTGGGAGTACCGAGGGGCTAAGATCGGATGTAGCTGTCAAGGTATCTCCTGAGAGGTTGTGTTTCACAAACAAGGGGGAGAGGCATTTGTTCAATGTGACGTTTATGTCAACGGGTTCGGTCGATGTGGATCGGGTTGTGTTCGGGTGGATCACTTGGACCAACCCTCGGTTCAAGGTCCGATCACCATTCGTGATATTGGGCAGCACAGCGTAGTAGTAGTAGTATGCAGGTGTTATTGTTACCAGTATTAAATGTGTAGTGACATGTGTATCGATGGGATTGTATGATTGCCATTTATGTAGCAGGATATGTCTCTCAAGTAATCTGCCTATTTCAAAATGTTTAAAATCTAAAAAATAATAAAAAGGTAATGTTTTTAGATTTCTTGATATACCCACAATAGATTGTCAATCACCTCGTCTTGAGTCTTGACTCTATTAATGAAAAACGTAACTAAGTTAACGACATTACATTTTTATTAAGGTAATACAATTGGTTATATTTGTCAAGGAGCACGAAATTTTTTGCTATTTTTACATATTTTGAATACATGTTGCTATAATGATCAAGATAGTCAAAGATTTGCCTACTTTTTCTCGAAAAATTATCACTTAGAAAATAATTGTGAAGGGGACAAAGGATCTCTTTTTTATGAATTCACATAAGTTTATTTTCACCTGACCTATTATTCAGGACTCAGGAGAAGTTAGGATCTACAAAAATAAAGGAGGAGTCTTGTTGCCAAATTTTCTTATATATGCAGCTGAAAGTGATTGTCTAGTTTGAAAATTCCCCTCACTACCAATAATCCATACACACAGTAATCAAAAGGAGAGAAAGCAATCATGAAAACCCAAAATTTATCGATATGTGTCTTTGTTTTGTTGACAATTTGTCTCGTTCATGGTGATTAATTAATTCTCTATTTATTATGGATTCATGTCATTTTCATGTCACTAAATGTTACATTATTTCCCCCCGCTAATTAATGTTACATAATTTGCTTTTCGTTAGCAATTCATATAATATGTAAGTTAACTAAAAGTGTTTTTTTCTTCATTTTGTATGATTGTTTGTGATGAAATAGGGAATAAGGTCGCATCACACTCTCTTCCACATCCACACCCTCATCCATCCTTTTGTGAGTTTGATACAATTAAAATAAGAGGATTTCCAGGGACGTTTCAAAGGAATTGTAATCCTTTCCGCAGTGTATGCGACGAGGCATGTCGACGTAAGTTTGGAGATTCTGTTTTTGGACGGCTTCCGGGTGAGTATGGTGTTGGAATAGTTTGCTCGTGTTTCACGGCTTGTCTTGTCAATTGAGAGGGTGGGGGACTCTGATGAGTACAATAAGTCAAGCAAAGCTCAGATGGTGTCTCAATCGGGAGTTGATTAATTGATAATTTTGTTAGTATCATTAGACTAATAACAGTATACTTATGAGTATTTAGAGGTATAAGGGAATTGTATCATATACTCTATATAAACTAGCATCATGCCCGGCCCGTTGGGCCGATGGGATTCGCTGATGCTGTTGTTGAGATAAAATTCTGTTTAAACACCATAAAATGAAGAAACTACCCGATGACCCTGGGGAGGAAGAGATCTTCCATCACGTTCAAGCCCCATGACATTTTGTCCTCTCCAAGCTCTGGTTTAGGTGGTTCTACACCTACAATCATAGATAACAGTTCATCAGGGAGGAGAGGTTGCAGTCGCTCCCAATTCCACTCACCTGTTTGGGTGACCTAATTGGAGACTGGTGACTCTCTTTCCTTAGTGGTGATGTCCTGAGAGAGGTAGTCTTCCAGAATAACTCCGCAATCAAGCCAGGGATGCTTCCAAAAGCTAGTTGTCTCCCCATCACAGATGCTCCAGCAGGAGACTTCCTTCATAAGAGTCATTGCCTGAACAATAGCTTTCCACAAACTGGAGTGATTAGATTTTTTCATTGAAATAATCTCCCCATTCATATGCTTGTAATACTTCCCTTATGGGACTTTAACCCAGAGGTCATTCTCATTGTTGAAAATATGCCAAGCAAGTTGATCATATAAGCTTTGTTTAAGCAGTGGGCAGATCTAAGCCCCAAACCCCCTAGCTTCTTAGGTTTACAAATTTGCTCCCAAGACACAAAGTGAGGTTTTCTTTTCCCCTCTTGAGATCCCCAAACAAACCCTCCAATTTTCTTATCAATAACGTCACACACAGTCAAGGGAATAGGTGTTGTTTTCATAGCATGAATAGGGATGACATTCAAAACTGAAGTAGCAAGTGTAACCCTGCCAGCAAGGGAAAGGGTTCTAGCCTTCCAGGAGGTGAGGCTTCTATAAATTCTATCAAGAATGTATTTGTAGGTATTCCTAATGATCCTCCCATGAATAACAGGTACACCAAGATATCTACCAAGATCATTTGTTTCCTGTATTTCCAGCTTCGTACAAATGTTCTGCCTAGTGTTGGTTCTAACATTCTTAGAGAAGAAAATACAGGATTTTTCTTTACTAACAAGTTCACCAGAAACTAAGTAGAAAGAACTAAGGCAATCAAGGACAACATGAGCTTGTTCAGGACATGCATGGGAGAAAAGCATAAGGTCATTAGCAAAGAAAAGATGGGTTAAGGCAGGACCATTAGGAGATAAACAGACAGGTTTCTAGTTCCCTTCCTTGTACTCTTTCATAATGCAGTGGCTCAGGCGTTCAATGCATAAAGTAAAGAGGTAGGGTGAGAGAGGGCATCCCTGTCTTAAACCTCTTGATAGCTTGAAGCTTTTAGTTTCTCCACCATTCCAGAGGACCTGAAAGGAAGTTGTGGTTAGGGATGGGCGGATGGCAACAAAACCCGAACCACGGGCAGTGGCGGATCCAGGGCTGGGCCAACCCAGTCCCCGGCCCAGCCCTCCTCCGGATCCAGAGTTAGTTTAGTGCTTATAAAATTTTTCGATTTAGGTATTTGGCCCAGTGCTATTTAAAATCTTGTCTAGTTTTATTTAATAATAGGATTTTGTGTAACTAGGAAAATGGTTTAGATGAACATATCCAAACCATTACTCTAAATTTATACTAAATTTTCTATAGCCCCAATGATTTTATTTAAAAAAGACATGAAAACCTAAAAGTGTAAAGTTTCATTAAAAAATAAGAAAAACTCTAAACTAAAGCACACCCTTACTTGCAAAATTCAAAAAAATTCCCGATCCCCCCAAAACAAAACAAGAACGAGGAGACGAGCAGACCCAAAATGGATTTCTCCGCCAGCCCGTCGAGCTGGTTTTCTTTCCATTCTTTTGATTAAGAAAATATTTACAAACTTGCTGAGTTATCATTTAGATTGCCTCAATTGAGTGGGGCACTAGATTCTAACCGTTCTTTCTGGTGTTTTGATGAAGAAAATATTTACAAACTTGCTCAAGAGTTTAGCCTCGAGACTTTGAAGGCTATGAGATGCATTTTTTGGAGAATGCACTACTCATGTGAGGAAGATGAAGTTTCTTCTCTTGCGAAATTATTAGAGAAGCTGGAGGAAACAGGGGTGGACACACAATACAAATTGATTCGTCGGTTGATTTGTCTAGTGTTGACCTAGCCGTTTCAACAACTACCATGGAGAGAATATTTTCAGCAATGGAACATGAACATTGATTTGTGCAACAAAATGAGAGATGAATTTATCGTTGATTACTTAGCTATTTTCTTTGAAAAAAGTATATTATCAGTATGGATGGAGATTATATTATTGATGAATTTGCTAAATTAAAAGACCTTCTTATGCAGCCTAAACCGTGAAAACAGGGTTGTGGGAGAGCGGCCTGCTCTCTTATGTTCTGGATCCGCCGATGACCACGGGTACCCGACCCAACCCGGTCAAAGCGGGTAAAATTCGTGTTGACGGGTTTTGGGCCGGGTTCGGGTTTAAACTCGTTTGCTATTCATCGGGTTGGGTTTGGGTTTAGGTAAACCCGCCCATGGGTACCCGTCCACACCCATATAATTAATTTTTCCGCTATATTTAATATTCTAAACAACTAATTTTTGTTATGTTTGTGGAGACATGTCTAATTTTTTCTTTCTAATTGTGTAGAATGAAATTGATATTATCGAATGGGGAGTGAAGAAGCTTAATTGACAAAGAGGAAAAAGTTTTCAATTAATCATGTTGTTTATGGATAATTTGGGATTTGCTTCAGTTTTCTTTAGTTTTCTAGATTGGTGTTGAACAATTTGTATGGTTAATTTGTGATTTGCTTGAATTTTCTAGAAAGATGTTTTATATAAGGTTAATTTGTATTGAGAGATTGATATTTGACTTTTATTTTGATAGGAACTTGTTATTGTAAATTTTTACGACAAAAACCCATGGGTACCCATCAACCCGCGAATACCTAGCAGGTTGGATTGGGTTTGAGTTTTTCAAACCCAGTGGGTTTTACCCCGAGTTTTTTTTCACGGATAAATCCATTGGTTTGGGTTTGGTTTTGACAAAATCCTACCCATTTCCATCCCTAGTTGTGGAGACACAGGCCATGATGAGTCTGACAAAATCAAGTGGAAAACGAGCAGCAAGGAAGGTTTCCTCCATGAACTTCCAGTCGATCCTATCATAGGCTTTGGTAAGATCGACTTTCAGTAGCATGTAGCCTTTCTTCCCTGTTTTCCTCGACATGGAGTGCACTGTTTCCTGAAAGAGTGAGGAATAACCAAAAGTGTGTTGACGCGCACTCCAAAATGAATCCCGTAATCCCGAACAACGCTCCAAAATGAATCTCAATCCCTAAAAAATAAGTTGGTTGGCGCGCACGAAACTATACCACAAATTAATCCCGATTAGAGTCCAAGTTTTTAAACTCTAGCCGGGTGCAGTATAAAGCAAGTATTTAAATATCGACTCAGGCCGGTCCATGTACCCCTACTTCAATCGCTTAAGTTGTTATCTAGCAAAATGGTTTTGGGTTTTAAAACTAAGAAAACTACAAACTAAACTAGCAAGGAAAAGTAAATAAAGGAAAATTCTAACTAAGGGAGCTTCACCCGAGAGTTGCTTCCCCCTAACTAGCTACCATGACTCGTTGGATTGAATGGAGTCTTGTGGCGTAGGTGGTTGTGAACCGCGGGGGTGGGCAATTAGTGATCGATTTGTCACAGAATCAAATGACTAGAGATCTATTTGTCACGGGATCAATCCACTCACTAAGTCGAGGGGAGCCGCTAGGAGGAGCAGCTAGTGATCCATTTGTCACAGGATGGATTCACTAGAGATCTATTTGTCACGGAATCGATCCTCTCGCTCAATCTCTAGTGGTTGCCTAAGTCTCTCCCTCAAACCAGAGTTCACGGATGCGTTGGCCAGTTCACGGCCATGAACACCTAAACGCGTTCGTGAACTCAGTCGTCTCCAAAACGCACCGCTTTGCTTCCTGGGTTCACGGTCAATGGCCACAGTTCACGGTCTTAGAGACCGTGAACTGCCTTGTCGTCAGTAACTTCAGGAACCTCCCTGGACGCCTTAGTGTTCACGGTTTGTGGTCGAAGTTCACGGTCTTAGAAGACCGTGAACTATTTCGTCCCGCCGTGAACTGCGCTGTTTCCTGGAGTGCTAGGACCTGAAATGAACTGCGCTATTTCGTCCCGCCGTGAACTGAACTGCACTTCACTTTTACGGGGCAATTGTCACGGTCTTCGGACTTTTCTTCGGTTTTTGCACTTTTTGACCTCCAATTATCCCAAAATTCAACCTCGACCCTTTCACACGTGCTAGGACCTGAAATGTATCAAAACAAGCACAACCTAGCGTGAAATATGTCGAGTAACGATGAAATACTAAGCTAAACGAATAAAAAATGAGGGGTAAAATGTGTACATTTGAGCCCGAATCACTGGTATTCGTTAATACCAAATAATGATAAATTCAGTACGGTATTCAGTATATCCCAAATACCAGTACCAAACTTCGAGCTCCAGAAAGAATTAGTAATGCATATTGAATCAAGTTGTTACCGTAACAAATTTTTAATAGTTTGTCATGCCCAGTTTTTACTCTTTGTTTGTCTCTGCTGGTTTGCTGGGGATTTGTTTTCTTTGGGGGCAGTTACTAAAAGGCTTTTACCTCTTTCTTTTTCTTAATTAATAAAATGTTTATTACCATTTCAAAAAAATAAAAATAAAAAAACAAGGGACCAACCTTTGATAAACTTGATGTTATCATTGAAGACTCTGTTTGCTCGTCTGGCCTTGTAGTGTGAGGGGCGGATAAGTTCTATTGGTCTTGGGTTCCTGCCTTCTGGCACGAGTAAATTCCTGATTGCTATCTCGCAGAGTTGCTAGCTGCTAAAGACGCCATCTCATTTGCGATCTCATTCAATCTACCTTGTCTTTTCATAGAATGTGATGTTGAAATGGTGATTAAAAAACTTGTCCCAAAGGTGGTTAAAAATTTGCTGGTCAATTCAATGATTTCTGAGTGTCATCCGTCTTCGAAATCAAATTCTCATTGTATAATTTTTAGAACGTTTTCGCAAATTGCCAACCCAACCGTCCATAAAATTGCACATAAAACTCTGTTACCGTCTTCTTATCATTAGTAGAAAGAAGAAAGAAAAAACAAGTGACCGACCTTTTCCACTTGCCCACTGGCCACTACATTCATTCTTGGCTTAGCCCTAAATCTCAATTATGAATTATTTAACTTTCCAGCCATCCCATGAGGCCTTCCTTTCACACAGTCACACTTGTCTTTTTGTCTTCCACCACCGCTAATATTCAAAAAGAACCCAAAACCATCTCCTTTTTCTTCAGAAAACAGGGGACAAAAAAAGCAAAACTGAGAGCAATCCAGCTACTCTCTCTAGCCGTCGACAGTGCTTCTTCACCGCCGAATAGATAGATAGGCGCCAGGAAATAGAGAAAGTTACCAAAACACCCTTAGATTAACCAGAGTCTTTGTATCTCCTCCGATCCAAGTTAATCTAACAGCTCAGAATCAACTGCCTGCAAATCCGTCTACCCATTCCAATGCACGGGATCCCTTCCCGCTAGAGCTGGATGGCAGAGTGGCAGTCACTTAAAGCCAGAAGCTTCTCACTCAATTTTTATTTTTGTTTAATTTTGTACCATATCTCTTCGTCGTCAAGCTCAGTAAAAGACTGAAACAATCAATTCCGCACCATACTCCAGGCAGCCATGGCTACCACAACAAGCCTCTCCTTCCTCTTCTTCTCCTTCCTCCTCCTTTCCGCCGACATTTCGTCGGCCCAACAGACTAATGGGTCAAGCAAGATCAAGACCATCGTAGTCCTGGTAATGGAGAACAGATCCTTCGACCACATGCTTGGCTGGATGAAGAAATCCATCAACCCCCTAATCAACGGCGTCACCGGATCCGAATGCAACCCTCTCAACGCCACCGCTTCCCCCTCCACAATCTGCTTCACCGACGACGCCCAATTCGTGGATCCGGATCCGGGTCACTCCTTTGAGGAAGTCCTCCAGCAGGTCTTCGGATCCGGGTCGATCCCTTCCATGTCCGGGTTCGTCCAGCAAGCCTTATCCCTTTCCCCAAATCTCTCCCAAGCCGTGATGAAAGGGTTCAGCCCCGATTCCCTGCCGGTCTACTCAACCCTCGTCGACCAATTCGCCGTATTCGACCGGTGGTTCTCCTCGATCCCGGGCCCGACCCAGCCCAACCGGCTCTTCGTCTACTCGGCCACCTCCCACGGTTCGACCAGTCACGTGGCCAAGCAGCTCGCCCTGGGCTACCCGCAGAAGACCATCTTCGATTCGCTCCACGACGACGGCAGGAGCTTCGGCGTCTACTTTCAGAACATCCCCACCACGCTATTTTTCCGGAACTTGAGGAGATTGAAGTACGTTTTCAATTTCCACCCGTTCGATTCGGCGTTTAAGAGAGATGCGAAGGCCGGGAAGCTCCCGAATCTGGCCGTGATTGAGCCCAGGTACTTCGATTTCCCCGGGTTCCCTGGGAACGACGACCACCCTTCCCACGACGTCGCCGACGGGCAGAAGCTGGTGAAGGAAGTGTACGAGAGCTTGAGGAGCAGCCCGCAGTGGAACGAGACGCTGCTGTTGATTACCTACGATGAGCACGGCGGGTTCTACGACCATGTTCGGACCCCTTTTGTCGGTGTGCCTAACCCGGATGGGAATACGGGTCCTGCACCGTTTTTCTTTAATTTCGACCGGCTTGGGGTTCGGGTGCCCACCATTATGGTCTCGCCTTGGATCAAGAAACGAACCGGTCAGCCTCCCTCACCACTACAGTTTTTCTCTCTCTCTCTCTCTCTCTCTCTCTCTCTCTCTCTTTGATGATTTTTTTGATAATTCATAGTTAAGTTCATAATTTTTTTGATAATTCATTAATTGCAGAAAATTTGAATTCTAAAAGCCGGATTTTTTTAAAGACAGTAGATAAATTGGAAGCTAAATTTTTTTTGATTAAAAACGGTAATATCGCGATACAAATTTGGTAATCCGTCCGTAGTTTAACCCCGTTTATACACTATGGTATTACATAGCATTTTAGTAATATGTAAGAAAGTACGACATAATTTTAGTTCACCGAAATTAGGATAGTAGCACAATTCAATGATAAAAAGTGTTAATGAATCCCTCAAAAAGATTTATTTTCCCCATCCTTTTTTTGAGAAATTGATCCCAGATTCCAAGTTTGATCCAAACGTCGGGAAAATCCAAGCCTTCACCTATCTGAAGTTGAATTTTTTTGTTATACACCACTTAATAATGACATAGAATTTCATTATTGGTCAATAATTCTTCTTTTTGCATTTGTGAGGGTGGTAACTAATAAGCTATAACTTATCTTTGTCTCTTTGGGCCTTTTTGCAGTGATGAGCCGGCCCAACGGGCCAGAGCCCAGCTCGGAGTTCGAGCACTCTTCGATTCCGGCAACCATAAAGAAATTGTTCAATCTGTCATCCAACTTCTTAACACACAGGGATGCGTGGGCCGGCACATTTGAAGGCCTCTTTGACGAGTTAACCTCTCCTAGAACTGATTGCCCCGGTAATTACTTGAAAAATGAACACTGAACAGTAAAAAAGAGAGCGTTACACAGTTGGGTAAGTTCGTTTCTTTTAATTTATTATATTTTATGTTTTGCAGAGACATTGCCAGATGTGGGTCCGGTGAGAAGGACGGCGGTGAAAGAGAGGGAAATGGGGAAGAAGCTGTCACAATTCCAGAGCGAGGTGGTTCAGCTGGCGGCGGTGCTTAACGGCGATCACTTCTTGAGCAGCTTTCCGGGTGAAATGAGCAAGAAAATGAACGTCGAGGAAGCTCATGAATACGTGAAAGGTGCAGTGACTAGGTTTATAAGAGCGAGCAAAGAGGCGATTAAGTTGGGAGCACATGAATCTGCCATTGTAGATATGAGGTCCTCCCTCACAACTAGATCTTTTGGTCGCAATTAATAAACAAACCAAAGCGTAAAAAGAAAAGAAGTTACCGTTTCAAAATTTTGGTACTAAAGATGGGAAATAGGTTGCCCAATTTTTTGAGAAATTGATCCAAGAATAACGAGATGGGTTTTAACTTTTAACCAAGGGCATCAGACTTGATTTTCCCTGACGACTGTATTTTTTAATAGATAAATTAGCAAATTGTAGCTACAATGACAATGGGTCAATGTCTCATCCACTGCTTACTAGTATACAAAAATTCTGTCACTAATCACAGTTACACGTATTAGACTAATCAAATCCACAACTTCTGCTTAGCTGCTGCTTCTACTAGAAAACTTATTTTTTATCGTCATAAAAGAGGGCTAATACCACTACAACACCCGAACTATGACAAAAATGCCACTTGTATCCTATTCTTTCCAATATTCCATTTGTGTCCTGAACTATTTATCCGTTAGTGTTGACCAGTGTTGACCGTTAGTATTTAACAGAAAATCCAGTCAGCGTTGACGTGGCATCTGACGTGTTATTTTTAAATAATTAAATAACAATTAAAAAAAAGAAAAAGAGCAAAAAGTTAAAAATTCCTAATCTCATCTACCCAATCCCCCTCCCAAGCTTGCTCCGTCGCTTCCTCTTACTCCGCCGCGACTGCAATCCCTTCAAATCCCCTCCCCGGCGACAAGATGCTCTTCCAGCGACCAAGACTTCTCTTCCGCAACTCTCTCCAGCCTTCTCCACGACCTCGATTCGCTGCTCGGATCTGGCGTCCTCAACCATCTGAACACCATCGTTTTGTCGTAGTCGGGGCCAGATTCAGAGAAGGGAAAGCTCGCTTTGAGATCTCTTCACCAGATTTCAAATCTGCGGGGTTGAAGTTTAAATCTCAGCTCGACATAAACCATCGATATGAGGGCGACAAAGGATTCAGTCGATGGTCTGGGATTTCGATTGGAGATAGAGGAAATGTCGATTGGATTTGGGCGAAAGAGGGCGACAAAGGGTTCAGTCGATGGTCTTGAATCCCTAATCTCTCTCCGAAATCTCGCCTGTTGGGGATTTCCAATGGCGGAATACGAGCAGCTGGTGGAGAGCCTAGAGTCGCTCTGGTTTTTCGGCAACGCCCTCTCTTCTCCAATTCTCCCCGCCGCCGATCCCATCCCATCTCCAGAATCGGAAAAAGAACAGAGCAACCAAATGTAATCCAGAGCTCCGATGTCGTTGAACAGGATAAAGATTTCAATTCCGAGCTGATAGTTTCCTCTCCGAAAGAAGAATTCGAGCCGCTGGTGGCGACCGAGAAGCAAAGTAACGAAGGAGGAGGAGGCAGAGCAGCAGGGGAGATAGTGGTGTTCCAGTCGAAGCCTGAATCGCCGCTGGAGAGGAGGAAGAGGATGGCGAGGAGATCGCGGAGCAACCGGAAGATATTGCTGGAGCTTGATCTCTGTTTCGATGATTTGATTGTTTTTTCTCCCTGGAGCTATGGCGGCGGCGCTGGAGGCTGCAACTCTGAAAGGGATGGTCGGGGCAAGATTCCGTCGGAGGAGAAGAAGGAGCGACGCGTTGCCGAAATCGATTTTTGTATTTTTTTTTATAAATATTAATTAATTTTGAATTAAAATCTGATGTGTCAATGACGTGTCATTTATGTGGCCACCTCGATTTTGCCACATCAGCAAAAGTCAACAATAATTTGACTTCCGTCTGGTCAACCGTTATCTCTAACGGTCAACGAAATCGTCAGGATACAGATGGCAAAAAATATCATACAATAGGACACAAATGGAATATTGGAAAGAATATGATACAAGTGGCATTTTTGTCATAGTTCGGGTGTTGTAGTGGTATTAGCACTAAAAGAAAATGACCATTTTCTATCTATGTTTCTCATTTATATGTGAATTGGATATTACATAGATTAGAATTATACATGGCACTTTTTTTAGATAAAACATCGTACTGTTAGTTCATGATATTATTTCATATATGAATGTTGATCTATGTAGCAGTATGAAATACAACATGGTTTAAACTTCATTAAACTTACACAAATACTATACTAAGAATGGGAGAGCACATATGTTTATGCATACAACACACATCTGCGGTACTCTCCTAGAGCCCAAATGGGGAAGATGTTTCTGTACGAGGAGTAATTCAACGTACAATTCCTCATAAAAACTCCAGTAATTTCCTGTTCGACAAATCCAAAATCAACACAATAATTAACAGCAAAACAAGCTTTACGCGTTTGCTTAATCGTTTCACTCAATTAGTACTGTAATTACAATGAGATTACCTGCTGAGGGAAGTCACCGTCCTCCATTTGATAATTGATCAATAGCCTTATCCCCTCATGGATTGGTGTGGGATCCACATTAGCCTGTTTATTATTAATTAAAACCCGTTGTAAACAAGTAACTCCACTAATCAACATTATAATTCAAATAGATTTGTAAAACATTAAGTGCTAATTAATTAACTAACCTGTCCAGCATCAATTAGGGAGAGCAAGGCCCATGCAGTTTGAACCAAATTCGGCCGGCCTCCTTCCAAATTCGTGTACACCTGAAACACTATTACTTGTTAAAGAAGTCTTCTTTCCTTTCAATGGAAATTACTGCTCTTGGTATGTGATCTAGTTTCTACGTAGCATGATGATAACTAAAATTGACCTTGTTTTGACTTGAAAGATAGCTCTCCCCCCATCCACCACAAGGGAGTTGCTTGGACAGCAAGAATTGACAGGCTTTTCGTAACGCCGGGCTATTGGTGTAACTTCTACCACAAGAAACCAGCCCCTCCACGGCAAACCATGTCCCATATGTGTAGCAAATACCCCAGCATCCGTACCTTTTTAGGCACATTGGTACATTTGGTGTCACATTAGGTAGAAGAATGAATGCATGGTTCCTTAACTAGAATAGAAGCATCACGTACATCATGTATAAGATGGTACAACATGTAGTGTACATACCACGAACCATCGGGATTTTGTGTTTGTTCAATGTAATGGACTCCTCTTGCGATGGAAAGATCGATTTCCTTCCTTCTATGTGTAGGGTAGTGTTTCCTAAACATCGCAAGGCTTTGAATTGCAGATCCACTGCATTCTATGTACCTGATCGCAAAAGAAAATTTTAAGGTGATAAAATATTAGCTGTTTGTTCTCCCTTCGCAATGCCAATGTACGTAGGAAATGTGCATATATCTTACTCTCTCTCAATCAAAGTATCTTCGAAAAACTCGGTTGGATTAAACTTCTGCAAAATAACACAAGATTTGACGAGTATAAGGGTACAATATGAGTTACTAGGATGAACTCATTAGTTGACAATAAGAAGGGATGAAAACCATTAATGTGCAAGCTGGACTTACCTCCAACCATTGAAACGCTCTTTGTTGCTCCCAAGCTGGGAATCCACCATTGTTGCTCTGCATTTTGTTGATTAGAAATTGAAAGCCATTAACACTTTCTGAAGGAGAAAAAACATCACTTCATTAATCTAGTCGGGTTGCATGTTGCTCACTTGAAGGGAAAGAATGACATTAACAGCATCAAACAACTGTTCTTTCCCCATCGGCTCCCCCACAAGTTCTACGGGCATTTGAGAGAACAAAAGTGCACACTGCATGCAGAAAACAAATGAATTCATAACATAATTTTACTTTTACAATAACAAATAAAAAAGTTGTAGAGTTTGCAGGTGGTAAATGAAAACTAACCTTGAGTCCCTCAGCAGTGCAATCAGAAACCTGCCACCCATGATCTTGAGCTGAGAAGGTCCAAGCCCCTTTGGATATGTGCCTATACATGGCCTTGAAGTCGCCACTCGGATTCTCTCTTACCTTTCAAGGGATGAATTTGCCATGTTAATTAGGACGATCTTGTGTTCTTCTGTCACAAAGGATGATGTCTGAAAATCTAACCTGTGAAGCTTTCAAGAAATCGTGTGCTTTTCGGAGAGTCGACCCATACTCATTGCTCAAGTTGCTAGACATGATTGCCTGGATTGCAAAAACAGCATCCCACGTTTGGCACCCAAATGTCTGCAATCAATCGAAGATCAAACTCTGTTCATCTGGGTTCTGTTCAGAAACAACTGAATCATAGGTTAGTATACCTGCATCTTGAGGCCATCTTCAGCAACCCAGTAGTAATCAGGAAGCCTGGTCAGATGGCGTTGGTAGGCTTCTGAATTGGGATTCTCAACCCAACAAGCCATCAGACACAGAACCTTTTCGACACATCCGATGCAGAGGTATCTGCTGTTCTCATCCTCGTAGTGAACATGTTCCATGGCCACTCGCAACGCCTTCTCCCTCACCTTGGAGAACGGCCAGCGTGTCAGCAGAGGCTCTGCAAAGTGGTGAAGAAATCCCCACGTCAAGTCCTGTACTAAAGGATGTGGGTAGTAGAGGTCCTCCTGAAATCATAACACAACTTTAAGCACAGGAAAGGTACTTAATCTAAGCTTATTTGACTAATCATTGCTCATTCAAGTTACCTTTGCGACTGTGTTTCTGGCCGCATTCCAGTTGATCTTATGGTATGATTCATTGTAGAGTTCTCCCCTTAGGGTTTGAATCAATGCAGTGATTGGCCCAACAAATCTCTTGCCATAGAGGTATGACATTGGCATGTAAACTAGTCGACAATAACACAACATTTTGCCTGATGCATTACACCACATCAATATTAGTTCAATTCGAAACAATTTAAGCACTAAATGAGTTTTTGATGAACTCATGCTGCAATATGAACCAACCTGGATGGACAGGGGAGCTTGGTGGAACCAGCCAGAACTCTGGAGGAAACGGGTTGCAGCCTGACCATTCATACAGTCCAAGTACCTGCAGTTGTGGTACAGGCAGGCAGCAATATAATGCAACCACCACAATTAAGTAAAGTTTCTAGAGTTTATGGAAATTCCTTACAGAGACCCAAAACTTTCCCCAAGAAGGTATGCCAACTAAACCGCCATGACTCAGAATCCATTTTCGACCTCTGGAAACAGCCTTGTCTTCCCCACCTTCAGGGCCCTCTCCAAGCAGCCTTAAGCATATGTAGCTTAGTGCAGATCCAAACATGGTGCTGTGCCCTTCTATGTGCAATCCCCATCCTCCATCTTCATTCTGGTTCATTGATATCCCCAACCAAATGTAACTTAACACAGCAATTAGGTGATAGATGATAATAAATGAGTAAAACGACTGTGTATTAAACGGTGAATGTTGCCTGGTGATTGTAAATGTAACGCTTGATTTCCTTCTGGTGCTCCAATGACAGGGCAGTGTGGAGTGATCCAGTGACATACAGCGCCATTACCTGACATTGTAAATTTGTAAAAAAAAAAAAAAAATTTGAGACTATAAAGACGAACCTGTATCTGGTGGATAATGGGCCTGATCCAAAAGAGAGAGATGTGTAAGAGTGGGGTTTACCAAAGGAGGCATGAAAAAGAGTGGCCCAGCAGATTCAGCAGGCCAGTGGCCGTCATGGGCTTGAATGGAGGAGTAGAAGCTGATGGACCTCGTCAATGTGGTTTTCACAGCTTCCTCTGTTATCTCTTCGCTTTCCTTCAATTTCACTGCTGATGGAATCGTCCCAGTTGGGTTCTCTTTCGTCAGCTGCTTACCGGAGGGAGAAACCGCGAATCAGAAGAAGAATTTCACTAAGATGACGGTAATAATTTTAACTAATGTACATGAGATAATCTCTAGGAATGATCACCTGCATCCTCATCAAGAGATCAGCACTCTGCTTCACTCTGAATCGATTGAGCTTGAACTCTTCACGAACCCTTTCCACGGCTTGCCTTTCTTCAGCGGTTCCGGCATTCGGGTCGAACTCCCAGTGTTGCCTCCCGATGTGGCCGTTGGTTGTGGTAAGAAAATCGCCGTCTTCCGCTATCTTTAGCTTCCACATCTTCACTAGCTATATGTATCCACTTACTTATGTATAATTATACCACTTGCTAGCTTTTTATATTCATATATCTCTCTGCAATAATACGTAATTTATCATCACGGATTGAGTAAAACAAATAAAGTAGACGAGGAGGAGGAAGAAACGCTGATTTGGGTTTCAATATGTTACCTTGATTTGGAGAAATGCAGAATTTGAACTTTGGGGTTGCAGAGAAATGGAGGAGGAAGAAAAAAAGAAGAAGAGGACAAAGGTGTGGAGTGGTGGATGTGGGCTTGTGTTTGTCAAGCCATTTTATACATTAATAATGCAACGTAACATCCACCTTTCTTTCGATTATATATGACGAAGATATATATCCATGGCATATTTCTTCCACGCCCATGGAATCCTGTTTCATTTGTGCATTATATATGGTTCTACTTTGACACCTAGCTGGCTAATAACCTAATAAGATTTTAGTACTTAGTACAAGTAAACATGGAACTTTTAATTTGTATATGTTTCGCTGAAGATGGTGGGTAGATTTGGCAAGACTGAGGTAAAAAAAAAAAAGGTTCAAAAGTGAGAAGGATGAGACGTAATTAGATGGGTAATGGGTTGATTGTTTTGTCTAAAAAAGTAAGACTTGCAAAGAAGCAAAGTAGAATGTTATAAACTTGACAGTCAAATCGACTAATAATGGAAATAGAGAGAAGATAAGGGGGTTATTAGCTTAAAATCCATAATCATGCATGCTCGTGTGAGGATAATGGGGTATTTATAAGTCATGAGCCAGTGGTCAATTAGGGTTTTGCCTAGCCTTTGACCCCTCTCATCCAAATCCAACTAAGCCTGAAACATCTTGACAATTTAGACAAATGACATATTAATCAGTTGTCGTTACTCCATATATTTTCGACTTCACTTTGATATTCTTTGTCAAATTTGTTATATCAAGTGTATAGTCTGTTGGATCGCATGATCGTTTTTTCTTATGGCACACAATCTTAGTGGCTACAATATCTTTTGAGTTAGACTAATTAGAACGCTAGAACACCTTCATACCTAGGCATGAGATCTTTAGAATCCTAAAAGTTTTGGCACGTCAGACGCTCTAAACAAGATGTCTCTGTAATCCTTAGATGTTTCCTCGTCATATCAAATGAATCTACGACTAATATAGACATGAACTCAAGCCTTTTAGGAGGCTTTGACACCCTTGACGTTCTGTTAAGGTGGCACTAGGACACTTAGACGACTTATGGTTGTGAAATGCACTCTCTAAATATTATATGGATTTGGAGGACGCCTAGACCTTGCCAACCTCGTTAAATCTAGTGATCACTACTCACTGTAAATATCGAAATTTTGTTTTGACATGGATAATATGTCACTATTCAGCCTTGCTTTTCAGTTGAATTAGAAATCGATAAACTAAATGCTTTGTTTTCTTAACAACCCATCGCCCATATATAAACTATATAAAAAGAGTGGCATTGGTCAAACTCCCGTTTGATAACTGTTTATGACTCACGAAATCTCTTGAGTGCAAATTTTATCAATCCCCCACGTTAGCTAGCTAGGAGCTTATTTCAGTACTGTCTCTTTATGCATGTAAACTTGAGAAGGACGATGGGGTAATGGTGGATCTCCTTTGGAGGGGATACGCACGTAGCCGGTAATGGAATGGTAGATGTGCAAAATCTTTTGGAAAGTCACATCCGTCACTTGAGAGAAAGGACGCCAATATGGTCGATGCATGTCCTTGCGGAGTGGAGAAGAAGAAGAAGCACAATTCGACGGTAGATGTGCAAATCCTCGGAAAGTCACAATTGTCAAGCTATAACTTTGCGTGTCAGTTCATGCCGGGGTCCAAAACAAGATACTCATAATGGTGAAAGGGCTATGTCGGAAGAAATGAGAGTAACGATGTATGGAGCACAACTACAAGATTCACTTTTGTGATGAGATCTTTAATGGCGATTGCTGAGCCACAGTTGGGGCTCGGTTGCATGCTAGAGCACCAATTGAGTCAGCAGGCGCTATCTAAACAACATTTTAGGTAGGCGGATCTTGAGCCTAATTGTAGATCTATGGATCAAAATAAGGGATCTATTAATAGTCCGAAATCCGGTTCGATAAACTTGAACTGGTCGAACAGATCTCGAGTTGCACTGAATCGAAATAGACTAGGCCACAATTCATGAGTTGGGAAGCTGGATTTTGGTTGTTGGCTCGGGACATATTTAATATTATGACCAGATGAACCGAAATGCCAAAGTCCAACCCAAATAATATACCTAATATCACCTAACCCACTATAGACTCAGCCAGAACCGACCCTGCCCAAACGCAGTATCCGTCTGTCACAACCCCCTAACCAACCCAGCTGAGCCTAATTCCGTAGTAACCATAAGGAAGGAGATCAACACGCGAAAGTCGGATTGAAACCCTTTATTTTCTTCAGTCTTCCTCCCAACTCTGACCCTATCCTCTAAATCTCTCTTCTTTGGTCTGGCTTCCCCAGCCATCCATCGACCATCAAAAACTCTCCAGTCACAACTCAAGAGCCAACCTCTGTCTATCCAGTTTCATGCTCACTACAATAACTCTAGAGTTGTAAAAGCAACACGTGAATAAGTCATCTCGATCATGATATGATCACAAAATTAAAGTTAGTTGTTCGATGATTAATCTTGTCGAGACATCTAAGCCACTGAATAAATTCTGAATGTTTGTCGAGGCTCATGCAGGTGATTAATATGATAGGTTAAATTACCAATCTATGAGTTCCTTTAGACAGGGAACTTGTCATTGATTTTATGATGGTTATAGTCCAAACTTCATCATGAAGGGAAAGAAGAAAGGGCCTTCATGGCTAAAGGAAGGCTACACAGAAATGTGAATTCTTTCTTTCCAAACTAGCATGGACAGTGGAAGGCTGGAAGCGCAATGGAGATTTACACATCTGACGGCAAGGAAGCAAGGTGTTACTCATTCAACACTGTTGTTTTTGTTGTGGAAATCAATCAATCTACCTATCTTAAATTGGGTCTTGGAAATTTGACATGGTTCACATATTTGTCCAACTATCAAGGGCTAAATGGAAGCAGAAAGCTACCAATGACAAAGTGTACCTATGTGTGAAAAATAGAGCAAGAGTTACTACTTTGGCCATACCAATCCGATAGTAATTTTTTCCTTCTCATAGTTCACCATTTAACTTTTAATTTTTTTTGGACATGTATAGTTTTTTTAAGGATCATTCATGTGTAATAATTTCATTTCTATACGTTGTTCTGAAAGACTGGTTAATTTTTTTGACAATGATAAAAAAAAATTGTTCTTTTCACTAACATGTTAGATGAGTTTGAATCAAACCTAGCTATATGCAACACTTTCAACTTGACCATGTAAGTGACTATGGCATATTTTGATACGATTCCATAAAAGTATTTCTTTTTAATAAGGGTGAAATCAATTTATTAAAAATAAAAAGATTGTACAAAAGCCAACATAACACAAGGTCAAAAGAATTGATCCTAAAAGTTGAAATCCAGGATTTGTTTGATATGAATATCGAGAAATGGATATGGAATTTTTTTTGCGCCTAAAGATAAAAGGGAGTTCATTTACCTGAAGTTAAGGGTAAAATAAGTCGAAGGATTTACTAAAGCTCCTACCTTCTGATATACGTAGCCCTCATAGATTCCAGTAAAAAAAATTAAATAAAGAATGAAGTTAAGGAATCAGCTTAGCAAAAAAAAAAAAATTTAGTTTCATAATTTGCCTCTATCGATTCTAAAATGGTAACCCGAGATGTTATGTAGGGAGTTCTTCACATTCGAGACGGGAAATTCACTTGCTTTTCTCATTATTCAAGTTATTTTCATATATTTTTGCTCGACCATGCCTTTAAAACTTATCTCAAATAAAAAAATTATTTAAATTTTTCGGAACTAGATTAGTCACTTCTCGGTCTCAATATCTTTTTGTTTACACTCATTACGTTGTAAACAAAATAACCTTAAAATTACATTAATTAATTAGCACCAACCACGTTCCCATCACCTTAAAAAAAAACAAATTCCAAATTATACACCCTCAACCTCAATTCATCAAACTTTCATTTGCCTATAAATTGGCACAAAACCCTCCTCCTCTTCATCCACACAACCAGAGGTATAGTGTCCCAAAAAAAAACAAAGTTATAACAGCACTTCGGCACTTCCCATACAAAATGGGGAAACGAGTGTAGCAACACAAACCAAACACACGCACAAAAACGCCAGAGCTACTGCTTTTTTCTTCTTCTTCTTCTTCCTTCTCTTTGGTGCAAAAAAATGGAGCATTTCTACCTCAGCCTCCTCCTTCTCTTCGTATCCTTCGTCACCCTCTCGCTGTTCCTCGTCTTCTACAACCACCGCTCTCAGTACAACTTCCCCAACCTCCCGCCGGGGAAACCCGGCCTGCCTTACGTCGGCGAGACGCTCGACTTCCTCTCCACCGGGTGGCAAGGCCGCCCCGAAAAGTTCGTGTTCGACCGCATCGCAAAGTTCTCGTCCGAGGTGTTCAAGACCAACATCGTCGGCAAGCCCGCCGTGGTCCTCGCCGGAGCCGCCGGGAACAAGTTCCTCTTCTCCAACGAGAACAAGCTGGTGGTCGCCTGGTGGCCGGACTCCGTCAACAAGATCTTCCCCTTCACCCAGAACAGCTCCTCGGTCGACGAGTCCCGCCGCATGCGCAAGCTCCTCCCCCAGTTCCTCAAAGCCGAAGCCCTCCATAGGTACCTATGTCCACAATACTCCGTTTAATACGCGTATACACTCGATTTAAGATAAGTATGTATATATGGATGTAGGTGTTTTTTTACATGTTCAAAACTCTTGTTTTCGTACTATTTCCAAATTGTTTACTCCAGTCAATGCTTTGCCTCTTGTTACTTTGAATATTTTTTTCCCGTCCGTTTAATTGGTCCTATACTGAACACGTACAAAATATTTTCAGCATGTTTAACATTTATATATTTAATTAATTAAATTGATAAATCCGTACAATACATTTAAACATCATTTATTTTTAAAAATATTCAATTTCATTTATTATAAGCTATTGACTTTTTTCCCCCAAGTAATATCAAAGTACAAAAGTTAGATCCTCTACCCAAAACCCCCCAAAACAACCATTAATGAAGCCACCCTACAAAATCAAAGGAAGCTATCTCTACAGGGGGCAACAGCAGGGCTTGTCTTGCCACTCTATGGGCAGCCCAGTTGACAGTCCTCGGGACCGAACTAAACCGAATACAAGAAGAACAAGAGCTCAATAACTATATAGCTATTATAGCTATTGACTTACCACTAGTTTACATACAGAGTAATTAGTAGGCGTACCATTATTTATTGAGAACGGATAGGATACAAAATTCGGTCAGCAAAACACTGTAAAACTCGATCGTATCATCATATTGATCTGTGGTTTTGCAGGTCAGATTACTTTTGTACCAGAACCCAAGTCCTTATCTATTTCATATGTAACTTACTTGTATATTTCATATGTAACTTACTTGTACGATATTATGCGGTATAGTTAGTGAATATATAATTGATTTGAATGCATTAGGTACATTGGGATAATGGATTCGATCGCCGAACGCCACTTCGCGTCCGGCTGGGAGAAGAAGCAAGAAGTACTGGTGTTCCCACTAGCCAAAAACTACACCTTCTGGCTGGCGTGTCGCCTGTTCGTGAGCGTAGAGGATCCGAGCCACATCGCCAAGTTCGCGGCGCCGTTCAACCTGGTGGCCTCCGGGATCTTCTCCGTGCCGTTGGATCTGCCGGGGACGCCGTTCAGGAAGGCCATCCGTGCGTCCAATTTCATCAGGGCCGAGCTGCTCAACATCATACGTCAGCGGAAGGTGGATCTGGGAACGGGGAAGGCCTCCGTGACGCAGGACATCCTCTCCCACATGTTGACTATTAGTGACGAGGCCGGCCGGTTCATGACCGAGCTCGACATCGCCGACAAGATCCTCGGCCTCCTCATCGGCGGCCATGACACGGCGAGCGCGGCTTGCACTTTTATCGTCAAGTTTCTGTCCGAGCTGCCCCACGTTTATGATGGAGTTTACAAAGGTATGTTAGTTGGTTTGTAGTACTGTTTTTCTTCAATTTTGTCGTCTTTCCAATTTCCATATGTAGAAAAATCTCGAGTACTGTGCATGATAACTTAAGCGCGACAATTGCAAGAGGGGTTCAGTAAATTTGAATTCCGCGGAAAGTGGCTGGTTAATATCAAGGAAAATACTTGTGAAAAATTAGGGTAACTAATTAATCATTTTTACTAACCAGAGGTTAGGTTACATATGAATTTATATGTAAAATATGTAACAAATTTGAAAAATAGATTAACCGGTAAGACTATAATCCCCTTTCAATGACAACGGTTAAAATCCTAATTTTGTTAGTCACTTAACCAGATTTCGAGCTTTACCAACAGATGTACATAAAATTTTGTTTATGGTAACATGGATGTTACATTAATTAAATCTATACAAGCAGAGCAAATTGAGATAGCAAAATCCAAAAGATCAGGAGAGTTACTGAACTGGGACGACATCCAGAAGATGAAATACTCATGGAACGTAGCTTGTGAGGTGATGAGGCTCGCCCCGCCGCTTCAAGGAGGGTTCAGGGAAGCCATCAATGACTTCATTTTCAATGGCTTCTTCATCCCTAAAGGCTGGAAGGTATGTATATATGAACAGTTAGCTTACTGGTTCAATTACCAAAACTCAACTACACTTAATACAATAATATCCAGTTTAGTTTTTCGTACCTTAAATTGGATATATATATGTGTGCAGCTGTATTGGAGTGCGAATTCAACCCACAAAAGCGGGCAGTACTTCTCTGAACCGGAAAAGTTCGACCCGAGTAGGTTCGAAGGCGGCGGGCCGGCGCCCTACACGTTTGTTCCATTCGGTGGCGGCCCGAGGATGTGTCCAGGAAAGGAATACGCTCGGCTGGAGATCCTGGTGTTCATGCACCATCTGGTGAAGCGGTTCAGGTTCGAGAAGCTGATTCCGGACGAGAAGATTGTGGTGGATCCGATGCCCATCCCGGCTAAAGGACTACCTGTGCGCCTCTTTCCTCACAAGGGGTAGGAAAATGGCATGTATCTAATTAAGTAGTAGCAATTAAGTTTCTGTGTGTACTATTCGTTTTATGGTTTGCCGGATTTGGATATGTAATGCAGATATGAATATGTCTTTTTAGTACCAAGTAACAATCACTTTTCATATCTATCTATCTATCGTAATTTGGGTAAACTCTTGGGTACAGCATACGCGCTGAGTAAGAAAAGTGTATCTAGACCTCGAATTAACTGGATTTTGGACATGATACTATATCTTAATTCTTGATGGGTGAACACTAGGCCTTAATTAGAAATCTAAATCATAGAACCTTGTCCCTGAGATTGTGCATGTAATTTGTTGAATACATATATTTCGACGAATCATGACCGTCGATTTTTGTTTCTCGTTCAATTAATCTTAGTGTTTTAGGTTTATAGAACTAACATATAGTTTTAATCTTTTATCGGTTTGGGAATGGTATCAGGTGCCAAACTCCAATCAATCCAAGGTCTAGATATCATTTTCTTACTCAATGTATGTTATACCTTTGATCTTACCCAAGGTATTTAGTGCACCCACTTTTTCGGGTGCATTCAATGCACTCTTCTCATAATCATCATTCCGAGCATGCGATTCATGTCAAAACGGTATCAACAGTCGCTTATGATATTATGAACAAGGAATACATGAATTTTAAAAAAACTCATTAAAGAATTACTTTAATTTGAAGGATTTAGATTTTAGGAATTTAGGGTTAGGGTTTACAATTTAGGGTTTTGGGTTGAGATTCAAAATTGAAGATTAAGGGGTTAGGATGATAAATTGATTAGTTGTGCGTCTATATTATATCATCATATTAAACTAATATTATCAATTAAACTGCAAAATTTAATGTATTATGGTCACTTTTAGAATTGAGTGTATTGAATGCACCAAAAAAAAGTGATTGCGCTGAAGTAGCCACTATATATATATATATATATATATATATGAACTCGTATCAAATACATGAACTAAATACAATAAAAATGATATATTGTACCAGAAATATTTTCGTGAAAAGGATTGCGATATCAGTGAACAGAGGCGCGACACATATAGACTCATATCAAATACAATAACTAAAGATAATAAAAATGTATGATATACTGCAGTACTATACATATTTTCGTGGAAAAGCTAGGGTTGCGGTATCAGTGAACGGAGGCGCGACACAGAGGACAATGAGGGTTTTGAGCGAGCCAAGGGTCGAAGCAAGCCTTATGATACAAGTGGTGGCACACGAGAAGAGAGCTACACACGTCACCATCCTTGAACTTGTCCAAGCAGATTGAGCATTCCTCCGGCAGGCTTCTTCTTCTTCCTTGTTCTTCATCGACTTCTTCTTCTTCTTCTTCGCCCCTTCTCTTGAATACCACAATGCCATACCCTAAACGTCGAGACGGCGGAGGAGGTGGAGGAGGAGAAGGAGGCGGACAGAAGCACCATTTTACCAAACTATAAGCACCCCAAATAGCGAAACCCAATAAAAACAACTCTAAAACCTTCAAGAAGGATGGCCAATCCATTCGATGACAATGCATATGGGATCGGTCCTGTGTGCAATTGGCCGAAGCATTCATCGTCGTCGTCGCGGCCGACCAATATTACGCTAGCTCCAGGTTTCGTTGAAATTAAGTAGACTTAGCTTGGTATTCCCTTTGCTATATTTGTACTTGGTTGGTTCGTTCTAGACTTCTAGTGGAAGAAGGAAAAGATATCCTATATCATTGTGGATTCGGACTTGGGAGTACGTACCGCTAATTCGGGGAATTCTTTTAGGTTATAAAATATATTAAATTCAACGACCGCCTGACCTAGGTAATCTTTTTTATTTTATTTTTTATAGTGGCTGACCTAGGTGATTGACGGGCCAATTTTAAGCTTTTGATTTGATGGGCCAATTTCAATGTAAATGGTTTCCGTTTCTTCATTTCTGGCCCAAAAGGCTGTAAACAGTAGTGGATAGGCTGCTGGGCCGAAGACCAATTGTCAAAGCATTATTTTCTCTTTTTGTTTGTGCTTAGGGGAAGCATTAGCTTAGGGGTCAGGAATGGCAAACCAGATACTGTCTGGTGGATATTCTCCGATCCGATTTGTAACGGGAGGATAAAATTCGATCCATATTTGAATCGAGTTGATCTCGATCAGATCCGTGATAAGAATGAATCTGATATAGATATTAAATACTAACCCACTCCACCTGCAATGTCCTGCCCCGCCCTGTCTTTCATCTTAAATTTGTTCGTTTAGATGAATCAATCTAGAAATGAGTTAATTTGATCAATTGTCTCATTTTATAAACGAGACAATTAAAATGAGTCAATTCAATTCAAAATACATAAGGTAGATTGATCTATCCAAAAATTTTGCTGGCAAACGAAGCAATTGGTACAATTGTCTCAAAACGAGACAATTGTGTCAAATTGATCCGTTACAATTCCTCATCCAAACGACATACATTCTACTACCTACATTAAAAAAAGGATGGGGTCGAGAGGGGCTTGTGGATGTTTGGGCCTAGGGGATAACGTGATCCCATCTAGAAAAGGTTAATTGGTTGAGAGAGAGAAGGTATTGAATCGCTATTCATCGCCCTAAAATTTAAATTTTATCACCATAAAATACACTGAAATGACACATATGCCCCTACCCCAAATCAAACCTAAACCCTAGACCCTTCTCTGGGCAACAAAAATCCGCAGCCTCCCATCCCATAGTCCCATTCTTGGCAAAACCCATAACTGCTCCCTGCTCCCTGCCGCTGTCGCGTTGCTGTTGCTGGGCGGAGGAGGACGAAGCCGCCGCTGATGTCGCCGAATTCACTCCCCGCCACCTGTTGTGTTGCTGTCGTTGTCGTGTAGGAGGATTTCCCATTTGTAGTCTGTACATGGACATCTTTGCCACTTATCCTCGTAATGCACAATCAATGAATCAATCCACGCCAACTTGGGATCTTCAATCTACACGAGAACCAACGATATATTATGTTGTCCAGTGTCAACTTACCTTTGAGTCCTGATGCTGAAGGGATTGCAGACGGAAGAAAAGGTTGAAGACAATATGCAAAACGAAACGTTTTATGTGTTTTAAGTTTGTTATGCCTAAAACTATGTCGTTTCCTTTAAAGGCTTGTTAGCCGTTATTAGCCGTTGCTAAACACTGTTTTGGGTTTGTAATAGGCCAGTGGTTGATTGCCAAGTGGCAATCTGAACTAAGCTGATTTCCTCAGCTCATATATATACTGCAAACAGAGCAACCCTGCAGACTTGAGGGTTTTGCTTTTACCCTAGCAAATTTTCTCCATATGGTATCAGAGCGGCGACGCATCTAGGGTTACAATGGCAAACACACCACCCCAGTCAAGCCATGGAAAGGAAACTGCAAGTGGATCAGCAGCCTCAGGAGCAACAATGTCTGGTGCTCGAGGTTTCCAGTTTGGTACTTACACTGAGAACCAGCAGCAGGAGCAGCAGCAACAAAACACCATCAGATCTGAGGTGATAACCTTTGGTAATCCTTTTTACTTGAACCCTAATGAAGCACTGAATCAGTCTATAGGTTCAGAGGTGTTTGATGGGACGAATTACATTATGTGGAGTAGATCTGTCATAATGGGTTTGAAGATGAAACATAAGATGGGTTTTATCGATGGAAGCATTCCAATGCCTCCAGTGAATGATGACACATTTCTGCTTTGGGATGGATGTAACACAGCTGTGTTATCATGGATCTTGAATTCCTTGCACAAAGATCTTCGACGTTCTGTGATGAATCATGTTAGTGCTAAGGTACTGTGGGATGAGTTGAAAAGGAGGTATGGTAAACCCAATGCCATACGAATTACAAATCTGGAGGATGATATCCACAAGTGCAAGCAAGGGAACCGCACTATCAACCAGTATCACAATGAGATCAAGGGAATTTGGGAAGAACTGGCACAATTCAGTCCCATAGTTCCATGTAATTGTGCACCTGGGAATGTGAATCCATGTGATGCTGTTGTAGCCTACACAGAGAGGCAGGAAACTGATTATCTGATCAGGTTTCTCAGGGGTCTGCATCCAGACTATGAAATTGTCAAGAGCCAGTTGTTATCTCGCAAACCACTACCCACTGTGTCTGAGGCAGTGGATGATCTGCTCCAATATGAACAGAAGCTGAAAGCAGAAACTCATGGTGGAAGGAAAGGCCAAAGTGTGGCATTGGCTGTTGAGACTGAGCAAGATGAGAGACCAAGAGGACAAGGGAAGAAGTTTTGCATCTTCTGCAAAAGAACAAATCATAATGTTGAGCAGTGTTGGAGAGCTAAGAAGAAGAGAGAATCACAGAATGGAGGAGGATCTCAGGGCAATGTTTCCAGCTTTGCAGGATCAGTATCACAAGCAGGTTCTAGTGATTCAACTACTGAAGTAAGCTACTCCAGCTCGACTGATACACCAGGAGGTAGTCCAGTAAGTGCTTCTAAAACAGTGGTTGGTTTTACACCAGAGGAAATGAACAAGTTAAGAAGCATGATGCAATCTGGTACTGGTAACTTTCCTTCACCTCCAACCTCACCATCTTTGCCTCACCATGCCTATTCAGTCACTCAAATCCCTCCACCATATCCCAATTACTCAGGTAAATATAGCCTGTCTACCTCAAGTCAGTTTAACCAAACCAATTCTATAAGTCTTTGGATTCTAGATACAGGTGCCTCAGATCACATTTCTTGTTCATTAGCCTTATTTATAGAGCACAAACCAGTTCAAGATGTCTATGTGAATCTACCTAATACTACTAGGGTCCAAGTCACTCATATTGGCACAGTTAAACTGCCTACAGGCTTGATTCTACACAATGTCCTACATGTCCCTAGCTTCTCTTTCAACCTTGTCTCAGTTAGCAAACTTACCAATGATTGCCCACTAGTCTTACATTTTCATTCTAATCTGTGTCATATCCAGGACCAGTTAAGCTTGAAGATGATTGGTTTAGCAAGAGAGCATAGAGGCCTTTACCATCTCACCTTTCCACCAAACCAAGACCAGAAGCCAGACCACCAAGCAGCCACCATCTTCAATTTCAATCCTTTGCATTTTGATATTTGGCATTGGAGATTAGGACATGCCAGTAGTGATAGAATTTCCATGTTGCAGAAATCAAATTCTACTGTAACTAGCTCTAAGATTCTACACTGTGATGTATGTCATTTCTCAAAACACAAAAGACTCCCTTTCCCAACCAGTACCAGTATTGCAAAATGTTCTTTTGACTTGGTTCATGTAGACATATGGGGACCTTTATCTGTTCAATCCTATGATGGTCACTCTTATTTTCTTACTGTTGTGGATGATCATACAAGGGCAGTATGGGTTTACTTAATGAAACACAAACATGAAACAAGGGACTTGCTGAAAGGTTTCTGTGCTCTGGTTGAAAATCAATTTAATACTACTGTCAAGATAATTAGAAGTGACCAAGGGCAGGAATTTCATATGAAGGAATTCTTTATGGAGAAAGGGATAGAGCATCAGATGTCTTGTGTGGAAACCCCAGAACAAAATGCCAGGGTTGAAAGGAAGCACCAGCACATTCTAAATGTGGCTAGGTCACTTAGATTCCAATCTGGTTTACCCTTAACCTTTTGGAATGACTGCATTCTTCATGCAGTGTATTTAATTAACAGAATGCCAACCCCCATTTTACTTGGCAAATCACCATTTGAAGTACTTTACAACCACCAACCATTTCTTGGCAACCTTAAAGTGTTTGGTAGCCTGTGTTATGCCAGTACACTTGGGCATAACAGGACAAAATTTGCACCAAGGGCAAGACAATGTGTTTTCTTAGGCATTCCTGCAGGAGTTAAAGGGTATAAGCTGCTGGATTTAGATGATAGGAGAGTCTTCTTATCTCGAGATGTTATCTTCTATGAAACAATTCTTCCTTTCAGAGATTGTTCAGATACATCAGACTCTCCCTCTCCTTCATCTACTTCCCCTCCTACTCAGTCCTCAGCATCAGCTCCTCCTATCCTGGTTCCTACATCTTCACTTCCTACACCTTCAGCACCTGTTTCCTTTGATCAGGCCTCAGCTGCAAGGGGGGATGGTGATACTGATGATGATCCAAGTGACAGTGAAGATGCATCTCCTGCAAATGTCACCCCTGAACATGAAACAGCAGCTCCTGAAGTTGCTGATCATGATTCTGAGTTACTGCCACAAGCAGACTTTGAACCTCCAAGAAGATCACAAAGGCAACCAGTATTACCTGCTAAGCTCAATGACTGTGAACTGGATCCCCAATTGACATTTGGTGCTTTTGGGACAGCAGCAAGCACAAGTAAGCATCCTATATCTCTAAATGTTGAATGCTTGAATGAGAAAGATAGGATATATGCTTTGAGTGTGCTGAAGCATGAGGAACCAACCTCATACCATGAGGCAGTTAAATCCATTGAATGGAATAGAGCAGTAATAGAGGAAATACATGCCCTGGAAGCAAACCAGACCTGGGAGATAGTTGAAGCACCACCAGACAAGCACATAGTTGGCTGTAAATGGGTATTCAAGCTTAAACTAAAACAGGATGGAACAATTGAGAGGTACAAAGCAAGACTAGTGGCTAAAGGTTTCACACAGATATATGGGATAGATTTCCTGGATACTTTTTCTCCAGTAGCCAAGATTAACTCAGTAAAGGCATTGCTAGCCATAGCTGCAGTCAAGAACTGGACTCTAGAGCAGTTGGATGTTTCCAATGCTTTCCTAAATGGGGATCTACATGAAGATGTATATATGCAGATACCTCAAGGAGTTGAGTTGCCACCTGGAAGTCCTAAGAGAATGGCTTGCAAGCTAAAGAAGTCTTTGTATGGTCTTAAACAGGCCTCAAGACAATGGTTTGCCAAGTTAACTGGTTTCCTGTTGAAAAGTGGATTCTATCAGTCAGCCTCAGATTATTCTATGTTTACTAAGTGGATTCATGGAAGAATTGTTGTCCTACTTGTCTATGTGGATGACATAATCTTAGCTGGTGATGCTCAGAAAGACATAGACCAGGTTAAAACTTCTTTGAGCAAGGAGTTTAAGATCAAACTGCTTGGACCTTTAAAATACTTCTTAGGGTTAGAAGTGAACAGGACAGCAGAAGGATTAATGGTTTGTCAAAGGAAATATTGCATGGACTTGCTGACTGATACAGGTTACTTGAATGCCAAAGGATGCAAGTCACCATCAGATCCAAAGATCAAGTTAACAGCAACACAAGGAACTTTACTTGATGATCCAGAACAGTACAGAAGGCTAGTTGGGAGGCTACATTACATAACTATAACTAGGCCTGACTTGACATATTCAGTGCAGCAGTTGTGCCAATTTCAGAAGAAACCCTACACAGAACATTTACAAGCAGCCTACAGAGTACTAAGATATCTTAAATCATGTCCAGATCAAGGTATCTATTACAGCAGCAAGGCAGACTTGAAGCTTGTGGGATTCTGTGACTCAGACTGGGCCAGCTGTCCAGACACTCGAAGATCAACAACAGGGATAATGATGATCTCATTCACAAAGAGGAATAAGTTAGCTGTTAGGATGGTTATAGTTGAGATAGGATATTAATTATAGTTGATTTCAAGGAGAAAAGTGGTTGTTGGATTCCAAGTGGGGACAGGGCAGTCTGCAAATGAAAATATTATTGCTAAGCAGCTTTCAAGTAACCATTAAAATTACATGAATACTGAGAAAGGATGGACCTCAATTGGGAGAGAAGAATGTAGCATGTGCCTAATGGTAATGTTACGTATCAAACAGGTTCCTTCTTTTCATGGAAATACCAGCTAAAGGACCACCAACTTGTTTGTTTGAGCCTTTCGTATCTGTTCGAGATGTACCAAGACATGTTTTCAACCCGTTCCCAAATTTCCGGGACATATTTTCAACCCGTCGGATACCCCTGAAAAATAGAAAACAAGAGCATTTGTGTAAATTCAGTAAGATTTAAAACGACGAATAAGTTATTTTAGGGCGTCGAATAAGTTTTTTCTTTTCTTCATTCCCTTCTCTCATCTTCACTATTCTTTTCTCTATTTGGTGTAGCTCTGAGGCGGCCAATCTTCCTTTCTTTGTCTCCCTTGCTCCTTTTAGGTCATCGACAATCGTCTACGCCCTCTCACAGCCCTCCGCCTCCATCGACCATCGCCCACCCTCCCGCCTGCTCTCTCCCTGCCCTGTCTGCGCCATCACCCTTCTCCCTCACCGGATCCATTTTGATCCCTCCCACCCTTACCATTATATGATTTTACGGAGACCAGGAGTGTTTCTTTCTCCCTGGTTTGGATTTACCCTTTCCTTGTGCAGTGAAATAGAGATGGAGCAGGTCGAATAAGAGCAGGTCGAATTTTATTCGCCCCGCGCGGGGTAATGTTTAGGGCAAAAATTGTCGACTCTTTGCAAGTCGCAGGGCAGGGCATATCAAAATTTCAAGAGCAAGGCGGGGCGTGGATTTAGCAATATCTGCCCTGTTCATGCCCCGTTGCCGTCCCTGTATTAGCTTGTATTTCGTGTGTTGTCTTTAACTGACATAATCTCAAAACATCGTTAAAATTTGCAACAAAAATGATTATATTTGTCAAATAATCATCAAAATCCTGGCTATTTCGTGTATTTCGAAAGTTTTGTCTATAACTGTCACGAAAACATGAAAATTGTGACTATAAAAGTGTATTTTGCCGTTCATATATACGCTTTCTAATGGGGCTAAAATATTGGGAGTATTCCACTACGTGAACAATATGAAAATTGATGCATGTTATTAACCAAACCAAACGAAATGTCGACAACTTGCGTGTCAATTCCACCATTGAATTCAAGTTTCACCATGTGAAAACAAACGGAACAAACTACTTTCTCATCTCAAAAAAACTTATGTACCTTTCTGAGAGCTTGTTTATCCACCTAAAATCTCGTTCTTGTTTGATATCAAAATCCCTCACTAACTTTTGAAGGCAGATCTTACACAATCGAATTTAGTCTTTAGATACTTTGGAGGGTAAAACAGTAATTGACCATCGAACCAGTTTCCATTGTTTTGCTTGACAAATAATCTCCTATAAAAAATATAATTATCGAGAAACCAAACCATAGACAATTCTAAACTATACACATACCTCCACCCTGTCGAAACATACGGACCGTTGTCGGTCTGGTATGAACGGAAGCACGACACAAAGGACAATCATGGTTTTGAGCGAGCCAAGGCTCAAAGCACTCCTTGTGATACAAATGCCCGCACACGTCAAGAGAAGAGCACTCCTCCCCGTTCTTCAACTCTTCTAAGCAAATCGAACATTCATCTCCTACTCTTCCTTGTTCTTCGTCGCCTTCTCCGCCACTTTTCTTGAAAACCCTCACCGTATTCCTCAACCCGCCGCTAGCTGCTGCTTGATTAACTTCGACGACGACGCTATTATTATTATTATTATTACTAGTGTGGTTATTGTTATTATCTTGATCATCAGGAGGAGGAGGAGGAGGAGGAGGAAAGCAGCGGCGTCGGACAAACTTGTACAGGCTGACTACTATCACCACAACTATGACACACAATGCAACGAAATCAAAAAGTTCCAAGAACAGTGAATCTGTCACGCAATCGGCGTCGAGATCACCCGTCGTGCAATTAGTCGTCGAAGCGTTCATCGTCTTCGTACGTACGGCCGGCCGATCAATACTACTCTCCACCAATCTGTCTGGGCAAACGTTGAAAACTTGAAACCCTTGTCCCTTGAGTAACGTATATTTTATCTATTTATATGTATTTACTGAGTTGATTGGTGTTCAAGAGGAAGAAGGAAATCTAAAATGTGTTTTAAACCATTACTTAGATTAGATGGATTTGGACTCTGAAACCCTTTTATTTAATTTATACCAGGGAATATTATTCTGGAGACTTATTTTGGTTAATGTATGTATAACAGCCGATCGACGTAGGGAGTTTCAACTTTGACGGGACTAGATAGATTTTGTTTCTCCACGCAGGCCCAATGAAATTGAGTTTGGGTTGAGCCTGAAGCAGAAGCGGATGAGCGGCTGGACTGGACCGAAGACCCTGTCTTAAGTGTAATTTCTTGTCTTCTTTTTAATTATGATGATTCTGAATTTCTGATATGTTAATTACCGAAAATTTTACTAGCATTGGCAAACATTAGTTTTTAAGAGGAAGCAGTAGCATGTGTTTAGTGTTTTTTTATCAATATTTTGTATTTCAGTTAGTAAACACGCAAATTTTTGGTTTATTGGATTTGGGTTTTCACTTAGTAGAGTAGTAGACGGTTAGTTCAACTGGAATACTAAGAGCTAGCCATATACATTTTGTGATATATATGAGCTAAAATAATTTAATTGTCAAATATTTTTCTTTCAATAAATTTTTTAAAATTGAATATAATAGCAAAATCATTAATTTTTCGTGTATGGTTTAAGAAGTGAAAGGATTGAATGTATCACATGAATATTTTTTAATCGAAATCTGAATCACACTTTATTAATTAGCAGTTGCGGTTACATCATCCAAGGTTAACTGATCAAAAATAAATATTGACTGCCCATCAAGCCAGACAATACTCTCATTCCATCTAATCTCTGTACTCGCCGTTATATTTGTTGCTTTGTTGGCTTTCCTGTAAATAAACTTTCATTGACTATCTCACATACGACCAGGATTCCTCTTAATGTTTCGACACAACACTCCTACCTCTGTTTGTACCTCGTCTGGCGAGTCCAACATTTGCATAAGAATCATAGTATCCCAGTCCGAAATTGGATTAACCACGTGAAGTTGCCATGCGAGCAGAACAATGCAGTCTAAATAATGCTTTAAAGTTTAAAAACATACGCTTTTACACTTCTTGGTCATCAAAATGCTTTTATGTATAATCCCGCTTTTCCCTTACAAGTATAGTCAAAATCTACGCTTTAAAGATTAAAGTTTACAATTTTACGCTTTTACATCACTCACATATTTATACATAGAATTGCGTTTTTTACTGCACCGAAACTAAACTGCTGAACTCCAAAGTCAGCCGCCATAGCCTCCGCCATAAGTGGGGTCCAAGTGCCTTCTATTTTCTTCGCTGCTGCCATTAGGCACTAAAATAAATCCATACTGTCCACTAAAATTTTATTTTCTTCTGACAATAAACTTATATTTACATGACCTTAAAAATTAAAATCATGGGGTTGTGGTTGTGGACCAGTACATGCCATTAGCCGACCCTCGTATTTTTGGCACTTAACAAACGAAAAAAAGGGACGTGATGGATGTAAGGATGTTAATTATGGATCTCTATCCCTTGATACAACTTACATAAAATAGATGGTTGTCTTGTAAGAGTTAATATATAAACTTAAAATAATAAATGTGAAACACAAAACATAATCATGAAGTGTTATGTTTCATACACTATTCTAATCGCACGAAATATATATGAATTCGAAATCTCTTGGTGCTCATTTACGCTAAAATGAACAATTGATTATCTCACTTTTATATTTTTCAAGAATTTAAAGCCACATTCTACCATCATCCAAGTGTTGTACGAATTTAACTAATTTGACATCATATTTGATAATTTGTTTTTTTTTATGAAGGATATTTGATAATTGGTTGATTTGAAGATACTATGCATGCTATCTAACGACATTTTGCAACTGTTATTGTTAAATAATAATGTCACACTCACACTCACACATATCAAAATTAAGCTAACTCATAAAGGAAATAAAATATGAATAAAATGCTCATTCATAAAAAAAAATATATATATATAACCATGCTTAAGCAACGACTTTATCTCATGTTACAGAAAAACTATCCATCATCGCATTAAAATTATGGCCCAACGGGGGCACGACAAAGAGGGCAACTTCTCTTTTTGGCGAGCCAACTGTTAAGGCAAGCCCGGTGATAAAAATGGCGGCACGCCGTCACAATGATGAGTTTATCCCCATAATGCAACTCCCTCAAGCAAATTGCACATTCCTCTGCCGCCACCCTGTTACTCTTGCGGAAAGCCTCGACTGTGTAACCTACGACAGCGGTGGTGCGCCTTGCCTCCGGCTGCCTTTTTCCCTGCTCAAAGCGTGGCGGTGGTGGCGGCGGTGGCGGCTGTGGTTGCCTGCTGCACCAAAATTTGAATAGTAAAACGAGACCAATCGGGAGCCCTACACAGCCGAATACGAAATTCCAGTTCGTATTAGTCGGGCATCGGTGGCCGAATCTGAGAAAGCAATTAGGCTGGTCAGACGACGTCGTCGTCGTCGACATCGTAGCAGCTTCGATCAGTAACGCTGCTACTCCAGCTGCAGGTTTTGTTTAGTTACGTACGACGTACGTAATCAGTTTTGCTGAATATATGATGTGTATCAGTGTGTATTTATTTATAGTATGTATGTACGTAGTTGGTGTTCAAAGGGAATAGAAGGACCTAATTATTTAAGACCTTTTTCATTTGGAATCGGAGACTGATTCAGGTGAGAAAATATATTAATTAAACAGTAACGTAACCTAGCTTAAAACCCTAAACCCTAAGAATATTCTGAACATTTAGGGATAGCCCTGTGATTCAACATTCAATGAGGATTGAGGACGGATCTGGTGAGCAAGGGTGCTTAGTCACTTGACTAAGTCCCTTCCAGGTTTTATAGATCTGGACACACTAATCTGACGATTTAAAAGTGGGAAGGGTTTTTTATTTAATGACAAGGATAGTTTGGGTATTATGGAAAATTACGAAATATACAAACTGGATTTACAAACAGTACAAACCATACAACAAACATACGAACAATACAAACTGGAGCGACAAAACATACAAACAGATTTACAAACAATACGAAACATACGAACTATACAAACTAGACCAACAAACAGTACAAAACATACTAACAGTACAAAATGTCACTACTTACAATATAAAACAGTAACTTGTATTACAAATAAATGAATACAATGTATACAAATCACAACATAAAGTATACAAACTAGACAAACAAACATTACAAATTACAGTGTATACAAATTAGTCATATAAACATTACAAACATAATAGATAAAAATGAAAAAGTAGAATGATAAATGATATATACAAACTAAATTGATACAAAATCATAAAAACATACTTACAAACATTACAAAAGCGTTCGACAAACATAACAAAATAGACGTTGTCGCCGAAAAATCTCTCATATTGTCGTAGGGAAATTCGTCTAAAAAAATCTCTCTCTCTCTCTCTCTGAATTCATTGTTATAAAATTATATTTTAATACCTATATATTTTAGATTTTCAATTTTATACCTAAATTTTATTTTTTAATAAAATATATATCTAAAAAATCTCGGTTTGGTGCCTAGTTTTTTTAGAATGACACTTTAATATCTAAATGTTTACAATATTTTCATAATGGTCCAGAATTTAGATGTCACTTGTATTTATATATTTATTTTTTTCAACTAATCTATAAATCCATGAAGTCATCATTTCATTTGCCACGTTTAGATATGGGAAAGATTATAAGAGGGGAGGAAGTCGGTCATGTTTGAAATTTGAGAAGGGAAGGAATGAGAAACTAGAGAAAGAATTAGATATTCTTTTTTCATAAAAGTGAACTAGATAACATTACCAAGACCCAAAACTACAAACAAGAGGAGTAAAATTACAAACAACAAGTGCAGCTGGAACAACCAGAAACAAGAACAAAACAAACAAAAAAAATGATGAAGAATAAGTGTTTATAGTTTTGTTGAAAATTAATTCTATCATTTGTAGCTGATAATTAATTCAATAAAAAAAATGTACAATCCAAATTGAAACGGCAAAGATACGTGTGCCGGCTCGGCGCAACTCGAGGACTCCAATGAGCAATGGCAATTTCCACGGCGTCGTACAAGAGCCAACTGGAGTGCTCTTTTTCTGTTCTCATGAATACTGGTCAAACAATTGGATCAAGACGTAGTTTAATTTCCTTGTCCTGATCGGGCAAAGCCAATGGTAAATTTGCTTTCCGAATTCCTTTCCCAACACGGAAAATCAGATTTTCATTTTGAAAACTCCCCCAGTAATAATTTTATAAAGTGAAGAAGAAATTACGAACTGCCAACAAATTCAGTACTGGAGAATCGATCGAGGTCAATTAATATGTCTACTACTGACGACAGAGTCGGAGTGGGAGCCGCCGCCGCCGCCGCCGGCGTGGATGCGGAACTAGTTGGTTTGGTAAGCCGGTACGAAGCAACCCAAGACCCGGCAAGCCGAGATCTGATCCTCTCCTCCATATGCCAACACTTAGGCCTCCACCAACCGCCGGCGCTCATTCATTTTCTGGATCCTCCAAGCACCGACGACGACACCGTTTTGGAATTCGATGACAGCGACATCGAGATGGATGACGTGGACGAAGAAGAAGACGTGGAAGAAGAAGAAGAAGAAGAAGAAGAAGAAGAGGAGGAGGAGGAGGTGACGAGGTTGGCAACATTCGATTGGGAGATGGGATTGTCGAGGGTGGTGGTGGTGACGGCGGAAGAGCTCCGGGAGCGGCAGCTGAAGCTGGAGAGGGAACGGGAAGCGGCGATTGAGGAGTCGTTGACGGAGGTTGAGGATAATATTAATGGTCAAGGTTTGGAGTGTTGTGTTTGTTTGGAAGATATTTGCACCGATGGCGAAGTCCGGTTGAAGAGGACGCCCTGCCGTCACAATTTTCATGCGGATTGTATTCGCCACTGGCTCAAGGTCGGCGGCGCCTCTTGTCCTGTCTGTAGGTTTCAGATTCTGCCGCCGCAGCAGCCGGATGCTTGATCGTCTCTTCGTTGATTGTTAATTAATATTTGCTGCTACTCCTTGTGTATATGTATTTGGCCCCAAAAAAAAATTTCTTTGAAATAGAATTCGATCCAAGGCTTTTTTTTATGGGAAACCTGTAATAAGATAAATTAATAATCACTGTTAAATCTTCTAGTTTTAAATGATCAAACAAAAATATCAATGATGTATCGAACTACACAACTCTCTCTATGTTAGTGGATCGTAGCTATAATATGAACTGCCGCATTTGCTACGCTCTCGAAATATGTCTCCAAACTCTATTGCCCAACTGCTGGCCATGTCTTATGCTTCTACATAACACTCCCATTTCCCCTCGCTCTTTTGGCTTCTTCTGCTCCTTCGCCATTTTTCCCTCTTCTTCGTGGCTATTATCATGCATGATTATTGCAATCATTATTATTTTGGAAAGTAGATATTAAGTTGTGGCTAATTATCGCTCTGGATCTGGCAATGGCTCCTTATTGCGGCCGCAGCGGGCTCTCCACCACTCCGTCAACTTGCAACCCACCGCAAGTAACAACAAAACAGCTATCGGAGATCATGTTTTCGTTTCTCCGGAGAAGGCACCGGAGACAAAGCGATGACGATGATTAATGACGTGCAACATGATGAAGAGAGAAATTTAGGTTATGGTAAAAGAGGCTAGGGTCATCAAACGTGGGGAATAAATCTTCAAAAATACCACTTGCGAGGAGACAATGGGAAAAAAATACAAAAAATAAGAAAAATACTAATAGTCAAGAATTTTACATAACCTCAAAACACTAAAGGGGGGAGGGGTGATTTTCTCGAACCTCTTTGTTGTGTAATGGATAGGATGATGAGGAATTTTACAATGCTATATATTATTGGTAAGGGTGGAAATCGGTGTGGTATTGGTATCCCAATATCAAATACCGAATTACATCCTAAATTTAATCACAATCCCAATCCCTAATGTTTGCTTTCAGGCTGGGAGAATACTAATACTATTGTTTGCTTTTTGGAGTTATAAAAATAATAAGAGATTGGTGGTTGAGGGTCATAGTTAATGAGAGAGACTAGTTGAGAGGATAAAATACACACTAGATTATATTTCGGTATTTCGGTATATATCGATCCTAATCCTGTAATCACTAATACCGAATAACAATTGAAATTGAATCTCAATCTTAATCCCAAGAAATAATATGTGTATTCGGTAATACCAAATATAGACAAATTCGGTACGGTATTCGGTATATCCCAAATAACGGTACCAAACTTCCATCCCCAATTATTAGTGCTATAGATTTTTGCATGTATGGTATCATTTGAAGTTATACCTTTAACGTTATGGTACAACAATGATGATATCATAATAGATGATACATTGAAGCAACTTATTAAAGATTGTGTGCATGATTATTATGTAGAACACTGCCTAGACAATAGTCTTTATTTGTTTTCTTTGTTTTTTTGTTGTATATTTGACCAATCTTTTGGGCACATCAACCCATCGAGTTTACTTTTCATTGCATTGTCTTCACTCAAGCATACATTGTTAGTTTTGAGTGGCCACTATCAAAAAACCAGATGAAATACAACCCTAGACATTTCTAAGATAGCCAAATTGGATTGCTAATGAATAGCTTACTAACTTGTTTTCCTATACATTGTGTCTTGGGGTCGTTTGGATGTGGAATTTTAATGGATCAATTGTACTCAATTGCTTCGTTTTGATACAATATGGCCAAATCAATATGTTTGGCAGCACAAAATTTAGATGAAGCAATCATGTTTGGAGAATAGCAAATTGACTCGTTTTGAAGCAACTACAATTGTCTAGGTTAAGGTCAGACAATTCGAATTGGCTCATTTTATTTTACTCATTTTGTAAAATTAGACAATTGCCAAAATTTTATCGTTTCTCAATTGATTCATCCAAACAGGAAGAAAATTTCATTGATAGCTATGACTATTTATTAATTAGTTATAATCTATAGGGACATTTCATAACTAAAAGTTAATAAGCTCAAAGGAACTTATCAATCATAAATATGTAGGATAATCCAACACAAATATCATCGATGAAGAGACCCACTTACCTTTTTCCCATGGATTGGGAAAGGAAATGAGCACTCCTCCAAGTTATAGTCCTCATATAGATCAGCAAGTCCACAAATTCCTTCAACTTCTTTGCATTGATACATTCGTACAAGTTGTTGATGACATCAAAGAATAAAGTTGGAAAAAGCTTTGCTAATTGAAGAAATGAACCATTTCTCGAAATATTATTTTTTATTAATTTTTTGATGGATTCAAGTCCAAGTTGATGGATCTATTTTGTCATCATCTGGGAGTGCTATTGCAGGTGGTCTCACCCGTGATCATCTCCGCATATGCAAGCAAGCCTTCATTTGTAACCTTGGAAAGTGCACTATCACCACCGCAGAGCTAAAAGGCGCACATGAAGAGTTGAAGTTTG